TTCTGAATGTCTGGGGAATAAATTACTCGCTGATGACCCTCATTCGTCAACTTAATCATGTTTGTGTGATTAAAAGCAGGAAAATTATCACTGAATGTGAGAAATAGTTCTTTAAGACTTTAAGTTGATCACATTAAGTCGTGAGCTTTTGAAACCCGGCACTCACCCTCATATTAGACAACTCCGAATTTTTATATGCTTCAAAGTCCAGATGATTCTTTTTGCAGCTTACTGTCAAATCTGACTCGACCAACTTGATCAATGAGCAAAATTACGCTATTAGAATTAGACTGAATAATCAAGTAAAAGTTCTAATGCAACGTATTTTCACTCAAGTAACAATGAAAATGTATTTATTCAAAAGGCAAATCAAGGTAACTGATCAAAGCATCAATCACAGAAAGTGACAACTTGTGAAAAAGTTTGATATATCTCCACCGTCACCATTTCTCTCAGGACAAAGACGTCTTCACTGCCACAAATATATTTCTGCATGTTCAAAGTGACCTTCAGGGGGAAAAACACAGCCAGACCAAACAAATCCCAGCCAAAGTAACCGTGTCCAAAGACTGCTGAAATATGCGCCACCATTCCAGATCATGTGTCAAACGACTTAATGTCAGAGCTGCAGTACAGCAGAGAGGCTGGTCTCTCTGAGCTTCTCTGTTTTATCACAGACTGCATTCTTCTCATGTCGTCTTTCTGAAACTTTTTCTCGTGGTTGACCCTGATAAAGACCAACTACTCCCACAAGCCATGATATTTAACAATCTTTTTCTTTTCTTTCTTTTCTCTATTTTACTAAGCAACAGATATGTTTAAGTCATAAGTAGAGTTGCAACACATTGTACTGTATGTAGTTCAGCAGAGTAGTGTTGCTTCCATGTATACTTGAATAAACAGTAAAAATATATTTCCATTGCAGTTTTGCAAACTAAAACAATTTTCGATATGGTCAGAAAAATAAATAAATAAAAACTAATCCTACCTACAAAACTTTTTATGAAGGGACAAGTTTTTTGCTAAACTGACATGTTTCCATTGAGCGGATTTATTATTGAAATGTAAAATTATGCAAACTACAAAAATATGTCCGAGATCATTGTTTATGAAAAGTTTGTCATTTTCATCTTGTTTGGCACAGAAAAGTCCAAAGTGGACCAGTCACTGTGTGTTGAATCTGGAGCATTAAATGGTGAATCATTAAATCAATCAGCCGCAAAGACGCCTGGAGCCACAATCCAATGGCAAAGAGTCAAACGCTAACAGGGACGAATGTATTTCACCTTCTCTCAATGAATAGTAAACGTTGAAAGAACTCCTGATTGAATGCTGCAGAAAGTTTTATAAGGAGAAAAGTACATAAGTGAGGTGAGCAAAGTTCCATAAAATGAGGGCAAAAGGAACTGGGATAAAGGTGAGTGAACTGGTGAAAATGAACAGAGATGAAGTCAGTCAAAAAGATCAACAGGACAGATAAACAGATCAATACGGGGGATTCATGTGAAACCTCTGGTGCACAACTTTGACTCATGCAGATTCGCTGGTTTAACTAGAAACAATCAGAACATCTTCTTCTGATTGATGTTCTGCAGAAATATAATTTACTTCTTAATGTTTTTTGGGTCAATCAGAGCAGAACTCATTGATTAGACTTGGATTGTCGTTGACCACAGCTGAGCAGAAACAGAAGCATCATCTGGTGTGAAAATATCTGAAGAATGTAAAGACGGTTCACCAAACATTCATCTCTAAGAAATCCTGATTACAGTCATTTATCACCACAGAGAGGATCAAACCTCAGATCTGGGAAGAAATATGTGAAAACTTCAAGAATGAAACTAAATCTGAGCAAAACGATGAGAAAAATACGTTGATTGCTTGTTTTAAATGAACATTTATATGTGAATTTGGTCTGTATTTGAAGTTTTTCAAATGCAATTTTAGCATGTTTGCACAAAGGTAACCTGGACATGAGCTCCATTAAAATAGTTTGTTCTGCTATTGACTTTTGTTTGGTGTCTGAATTATTAAGAAACAAAACCCTTTAGCACTTTATTAACATACTTTGCACAAGGCAGTGAGTGTTGACGGTTTTGTGTTCCTGATTTAAAATAGGAGCTATTTCTCATTTGCTTCTTGAAGGTAAGCGACTTGCGCCATTGTTTATTTAGTTGGAAGAAATTTGTTTTATCTAAAGTTGCACAGACTATAAAAAAGGAAACTGCTGAGGGGAAATTGTAAAATTATTTGGCAGGACAAGAACACATTTTTGGTAAAAGATATAAGATAAAAGATTTTGCAGGTAAAAAGTTGGAATGATAATGTTTACTTTCTGTATCACACTGTTCCGTTACCACAGCTACGTCGCAATATGTGAAACCGCACATATGGAGCTAAATTGGGGCCATAAATTTGTTCAAAAATAAAACTGAAAAAGTTTTCAAAACTACCCTTCAGGGTCAACGTTTTATTTATTTAGTTTCACTTTCTTTTCACTTTTGAACAAACTTTATCACCCCAGTTTAGCTCGTTACATATGACCTCAACAATATGAACAAAGGTAACTTTACTCAGTTGGACCTTACACACTAAATCAACTTTAATTTTAGTCTTAGTCAAACAAAAAAATTACAACAAAAGATTGACACATTTTTTTTTATCCAAAATGTTCATATTTTCTGCAAAGTTGTAAATGTTCTGTTGCAAGAAGAACTCTCTTGCAGAGAAGTTACATTTGTTTATTTGTTTCTTTCATTCATTTACGGTTTAAAATGAACATGTCATGATAATAAAGACAAAAGTTTTGAATGAAAAAGAGTGGTTGGAAAACATTAAACATCACTCAGTCATACATATAAATACATCTTCAAACACAAAACAGGAAATTTATATATTAGAAATAAAAAATATAGAAATAACATCAGACTTGACTTCACAATGTGTTTGTTTTTATATTCCTAAACTTGTGTCATCTTATTTAAGCATGATTTCAGGTTTAATGCGGTTATACTATCATTAAATATTTATGGATAACAAGTTTGACTTAGTTATACATTTTCAGAAGAATCCACTGATGCATTTTGAATTTCAATCACCAGTGATGCATCAGGCTACAACAGGTTGAGTGTTGCACAACTGTTCCTGGTTCAGAAATGCTGCAGCAGTGATGCGATGTCTACCAGAACACTACAAACTAAATATAGAGTGAAAGAATGAAAATGCAGCAAACACTACAAACTAAATATAGAGTGAAAGAATGAAAATGCAGCAAACACTACAAACTAAATATAGAGTGAAAGAATGAAAATGCAGCAAACAGACTTATGTTAGATAGATAGATAGATAGATAGATAGATAGATAGATAGATAGATAGATAGATAGATAGATAGATAGATAGATAGATAGATAGATAGATAGATAGATAGATAGATAGATAGATAGATAGATAGATAGATAGATAGATAGATAGATAGATAGATAGATAGATAGATAGATAGATAGATAGATAGATAGATAGATAGATAGATAGATAGATAGATAGATAGATAGATAGATAGATAGATAGATAGATAGATAGATAGATAGATAGATAGATAGATAGATAGATAGATAGATAGATAGATAGATAGATAGATAGATAGATAGATAGATAGATAGATAGATAGATAGATAGATAGATAGATAGATAGATAGATAGATAGATAGATAGATAGATAGATAGATAGATAGATAGATAGATAGATAGATAGATAGATAGATAGATAGATAGATAGATAGATAGATAGATAGATAGATAGATAGATAGATAGATAGATAGATAGATAGATAGATAGATAGATAGATAGATAGATAGATAGATAGATAGATAGATAGATAGATAGATAGATAGATAGATAGATAGATAGATAGATAGATAGATAGATAGATAGATAGATAGATAGATAGATAGATAGATAGATAGATAGATAGATAGATAGATAGATAGATAGATAGATAGATAGATAGATAGATAGATAGATAGATAGATAGATAGATAGATCTCTGCCATCTACTGGCCCAATAGTCTCATTACACGAATAGTTTAAATGATCAATCTTTATTATACTGCCATCTGATGGAGAAAAGACTGCATTGACGTTAATTAATTCAATCAGGCTTCATTATTAATAAAAATAATAATAATGAAAAATCAGATACTGTCAGAGGTGGGTAGAGTCACGCAAAAATGATTAAGTTAATAGTATTCATTTTTATTGAATGAATACGGTATTATTACTTAAACATATTTAAAAGTCGTCGTCCAAGAAACGAGTCAAGCAAAGTAGAAACTAAAATGACAAATTTAAAAAGTAGAAAGAATTTCTAAGACAAAAATATTTTTCATATAAAATTAATGAAAGTAAAACGAATAGCAGATCATGTCTATATTTCACAGAACAGGAAAACTACTTTTGGTGGCAGTATAAATACAATATTCACTTTATCTTTTGACCTCAAAATGGCTTCAATTTCGGCATGCATGAACTCAATGGATATTTTCATATCCTTTTTGTCAGCCTTTACCTCATCCGCTCTGTGGTTCAGAAGGCGTGCAGAGGTTGAGGCTCATCGCCGCAGGGTTTCTTGGCAGCTGGGCTCTTGATAGGAGAATCCGGGAATATCACAGGATCGGTATCAGTGATCCCATCGCTGTAGTTGTGCTCATGCATCTTGTTCCGAGGACTGACTGGTGTCCTGGTCTTCCGCTTATTGTATTCTTCTTTTCCTTTGTGGCTCGTCGTTTCTTTGCAAGCCAGTCACTCAGCAGAGTGACAGTATCCTGTTGAAAGTGATTTTTATTTGTGGTTGTTTTATCAACCTTATGGCTTCTCAGTGGCATAAAGTTTGCGAAAGGTCTGAATATTTTGGTTTGTCAGAAGTTGTTGATTCTGGGCTGGAGTCCAGTTTCAATAGAGACGATTTAAAAGCCATCTTACTGGCTCCACACCTAGGTTTTCCCCTCCTGTTTCTCTCTCCTTTCCGCTTTGAACTGTTTGTTTGTTGGTTTGTTTTTACTTTTCTCCGTCTCGTCCGGCTGCATCTCCTGCAGTGAATCACTGCGTTTCTTTTTATTCTTGCTCTGTCTGGCTAACCGCCCTCAACCGTCCAGACTCGGATCCCAGGTTTAACGCTCGGTTCTTTCCGGAATCCCCCGCCGAACCGTCGCCGCCAATTGCAGCATCGATCACAGAACAAACATCCGACTCGGACCGGATCCTTTCCGTCTCACTGCTGTGTCCAAATATTCAATCCAGGGAATAAAAACTTCTCTTGCCTGTCTTTTCCCTCGCAGTGAGGTGAGACCGTTTGCAGCCAACGGTTCCCAACCGCTGCTTCCAAATCGCAAATGTCATCCAAACACCCAGCGCTGGACACCAACAAGCAACTGAGCATCTGGACCAGAGACTGGCCCGCCTGTTTCAGCTCACTGGACTGAAGTGAAACAAAGACAATGAGAGAAAGAATATTTCAGGCCACGACCCTGCTTTCAATTGCCTTGGGTAAGAACTAGCTTTAGTTTTCTACATCCTGTGATATTTTATTATTATTGTTTTATATGTGTGGTTGAATTGCTGCCTAGCATCAGGGTACAATGTTACTTGAAGAGAAAAAAACTGTGAAGAATATTTTATTTATCATTGATCCTACAGCATTTCCATTTATTTCTATTGGCTGTCATAAAGTATACCATTTGTTTGCTTCGTAGGGTTAGGCCTTGGATTTCTGCTGAAGTTTCAAATTCCTTTAACTCCATATTACCTTCTCTGCATCCAAACGCCAGGGAAAATATTTCTGAACATGCTCCAGATGATGGCTGTTCCCCTCATTGTGACAAGCGTGATTGCAGGCAAGCTAAATATGAACCGTGATACTTGATGTACTAACTTATTGTTATTATTGTATTGTGGGTAAACACTTGACTATAGCTGTATCTGGACATTAGATTCATATGGTGATCTTACCGATTATTTATTGTGGCTAAAAAATATAAGACGATAAGGATCAGTTCAGACATTTACACTGTTGTTAGGACACATGTTGTCCTCGTCATTGCTCAGGCTCCACATGAACTTCTGGTTCTTCTCTCATTTCTCAGGTGTAACTGATTTAAAACACATAATGTCCAAGAAAATGGGCTTCATCGCTGGAGCCTACTTCTGTGGCACTACCCTCATTGCCATAGCTCTTGGTAACGTTTTTTATAGGTAGCAAATTTTAATGTAGATTTATCTTAAGCTGCTACCCCCGCGACCCGACCCCGGATAAGCGGCAGACAATGGATGGATGGATTTATCAAGACCAGCACAGAGTGTATTGTGTTATTGTTTTGCCATGCTGCCTGAAACTTGTTCACTTAAAAACTGTAGATTTAAAAAACGTTCATTCCAAAGTGCATCTCAGGACAATCAAGATGGCTGTGCCGTTAAAAGCTAACATAAAACAATAGCAACATCATAAGCTGAGAAGAATAGGTTTGTGTAAAAGGTTGGGTTTTTAGACCAGCTGTCAATAGTCAGAGTGAGGTGATATTTTTGTAGGTTATTTGTTTTGTAGGGATGATTCTGATGATGACAACTAAGCCTGGTGAGCTTGAAGACCTTTCATCCAATAAAGAAATAGATGCCCCACCCTTCTCCATTCATTTGGTCCTTCAGGACCTTTTAAGGTGAGACTGTTCAGTGTTCAGGCAAAATTCCTGCTTTTCTGCATATTAATGTCATAGTTCCTGCATAGAAAAGATCCAATAAATGTTTTTATAATCTTTAACAAGCACAATGACTTGCAAAAGTATTCATACTCCTTGAACTTTTCCATATTTTGTGACTTTACAATCACAAACATAAATGTGTTTCATTGAATTTTATGTGAAAGGCCAAAGTGATATACATTTGTGAAATAGAAAGAAAATGATACAATTCAAATTGTACAGGTGATTATTTTTAATTCTGAGGCATTGGCACATTCATTGACTCAGATGTTGAGTTTTGAGAAAGAAACTGGCTTTTGCAGAAAATCCAAGTTGTTTTGCTGCTTGAAGAAACTGTTTTGAGAAACACACATTTTTTTTGCAAATGTCAAGAATAATCTGAGAAATGCACCAAAACGACTAAGAAAAACTAACATCTACAAGCTCAGTTTTTGTGTGACTCTCCTTTGACTCACATAGGAACATGATTCCGGAGAACTTTTTTCAGGCTTTCTATGAGCAGGTATGTTCATATTCAGAACCACGGCTCACTGTGCAAATTCCTATGTTGAGTTTGGAAAGTTTATGTATTTCCCTCTCAGTACAAGACTGAGATTGTTCGTGTTAAAGGAGACCAATCTGTCCCTTACAATAGTCAGGTGAGTATTTTTTCTCGTCTTTTTCTATGCCAACTTCCTAAAGTCTTCACAGCCCTTGAGCTTTTTCACATGTTGTCAATTTACAACCACAAACTTTGATGTATTTTGTTTTGATTTAAAGTAATCGCACTTAATTGTGAACTGGAAGAACAAGAACGAATGGCTTCAAAATCCTTCCAATTTAAAACTAGAAAGGAGAGGTGGTGTTTGTGTTCAGCCCACCTGAGGGGCAGCTGGACTTTTCTGGAGTTGTCAGTGGGTGGGGAGTACATCACAGGGGAACAAAGAGTCACACAGGAAAGACGACCATGCAGGCACTGAGAGCATGTTTCTCTGAGGTTGTCTGAGGGCTGGTTCTCAAATCCAGCCCTCAAGGACTGAAGACCTGCAGGTTTTAGATGTGTCTCCATTTCAGCACACCTGAATCGGGTCATTAACGTGACTCTAGAGCAGTGTTTCCCGACCTCTCTCCTTTAGGCACACTGGCTTGCATGGTTTAGATGTTTCCCTGCCTCAACACAACCCATTCGGATGATTGAGATTCAATCATCTGTTAATAAACCACACATCACACACATCCATCCATTTGTTGAAACAACACTGAAAGACTTAAGTTTAAAAAAATTGTTTAAATACACAAATACTTTTTTTGTTTTAGGTTTTTATATAAATAAAGATTGTTTCTAATTAATTTGTTTCTTTCCATCTCACAATTTGGACTGGTTATTTTGCTAAATAAAGTTTTTACAAAATAAATCAAAATAAAATACATTGAAGTTTGGGATTTTAATGTGACATATTATGCAAAAGTGATATTTATGGTCCATTAATGATGAACTTGTACAATATTGGTCTAAGAGTGTTAGAGCCAGCATATTTATGTTGTTTTATGTTTTGATTTTTGCACAGAATGAAAGTCAGATAAAACTGATAGGTACTTATGTTGAAGGCGCCAACATGCTCGGACTGATCATCTGGTCTTTTGTCATCGGCATCATGTTAAACATTGTGGGAGGCCAGGCCAAAACCGCTGTGAAGGCCATTCATGGCCTCAACAATGCAATAAAAATCATATTCAGCTGGTTTTTGTGGTAAGATCAAACACTACAATAATTTCACTCTTTTACCAAATTAGATCCCTCATTTATTTCTGGTCAAACATAAGAGGAAGTCACCAGTACCATAACATTGAAATGTCATTTCAATTCTTGTATTTACGGCAAGAATAACTGTTAACTTTAATCACAAAATTAGTAAAGCAAAAGTTTTAACCACCTATTTCATTTAACCTTCTGACTGCTTTTTGCTTCAGTTACTTGCCAATAGGAGTGTTGTTCCTGGTTGCAAGCCAGGTGCTGGAGATTAAGCAGTGGAACTCTATCGTTAAACTTGGAAAGCTTTCAGGGGTATTTATTCTGGGGTATGTAGATCTCCTGTGTCTCAGCTTTATTAATAAATTGAAACCAGGTAGCAGCACTGAACTCGACATAAGAAGAAGAGAAACTGCTTTGAATGTTATTTACAGAACTGATTAATTATGTCTCTAATTAGTCAAATTCCAGAGTGTTAAATTGACTATTATTACCTTTTAATGTGCTTTTTTATTTTTTGCCATCTTGGAAATATCACAATGTTCACACAGACAGTTGTCTGTCACAGAACAAGAAATCAGTTTTCAAAAGTAAAGTATCAAATTAGTTTTTGTTTCACTCTATTGAACTTGTGTGCTTACACCAAATTTTGCTCTGTATTCAACAAGTCATAACGAAACACATCCAGCAAATACATCCAGCAACGACTTTGGAAACCAAAAATACCGATACTGGATATTGACATTTCGACTCAGGGGCGTATTGTCCCAATTCTCTAACTTTTGCCTGCTTGTAACCTGACCACTCAAACCCTGATGTGCACTTTGATTGAGTCCACACATTTAGTCTAGTGTACTAGACTTTTAGTCTAGTGTACTAGACTTTTAGTCTAGTACACTAGACTAAAAGTCTAGTACACTGGCTCTTGAGGGCTAGAGATCACCTGCTTATTCATGTGTTAGAAAGGTCTAGTCAAATCCAGACCTACAGTATAATCATTTGATAATTTGTGGCAAGAAGTTTTCTCTTCATACTCTACATCCAGTCCGCTATTTTGCAGTGAGGAATGTCACAAATGTTGATCTATGAAAGAGCAAAGCTGGTGCAGAAATAACCCAACAAGCTGCAGCTGGAACTGCAGCAACAGTTTGATCTATAATGCATAATGTAGATGTACGAACATTTTCTTAGATGAATGGTTACTGTGAAACCATGCATCATTTTCGTTCCACTGTACAATCATGAACTAAAGTGTATTAGTATATTATACATAATAATCCCCCCTTCAAACACAGTAAGGTGTCTGATTTTATCATGACAAAATGTATAAAATTATCAAAGTTAAAGGCTAGTGAATACTGGTCTTTAATACTTAGTAACACTGAGCATAACTGTATTGTCTCTTTCAGGTGTGCGATTTTTTCCATTTTTATTCATCCTGGGATTTATTTCATAACCACCAGACGGAACCCTTACGTCATCTTCACGAAGATCTCAAAGCCATTGATAACAGCATTTGTTCTTGCGTCCAGGTGAGATGTTCTCCATTGTCACAATGTGACACTTTTCTAGTTTCCACATATGAACGCTGCTCCAATAGAGGATGTGTTTCTGCCAAAGTGCCGCCACTCTGCCCATGACCCTTGAATGCTGTGAAGAGAAGTTGAAGATGAATGCAAAACTCTGCCGCCTCCTGCTGCCCATTGCCTGCACCATCAACATGAATGGGACCGCGCTCTACGAAGTGTTCGCTTCCGTCTTTGTTGCCCAGATAAATGACATCAACCTGGACATTGGCCAAATAATCTCCATTGCGTAAGCTACTTCCTAGATGTGCCTGGAAATGAGAAAGCAAAGAAATTCAGCTTCGATATTTAATGCCTTGAAATTGGGCAATTGTCTCTTTAAAAATTATACTCTTTGAAACGCTGCCTTCAGAAAGTCATCACAACAGCACTCCTCTATTAACCTTTTAAGTTTCTACTTGTGTTGCACTCAGAAGTAGCTCAGATACTGAGCTCAGGAAATGCACAGTCCTGCGTGTTTGCTAATTGCTGCTGGCTAGTCTGAATGAGCTGAGTGTGAGGAAGAATCTCAGAACCTTGAAAACTGCAGCTCCAAGGTTCCAAGCTGCCACTTTCAGAGCTTTGCCTGAACGTGCTGATCAGTTCACAGAGGCACAGCTCAGTGGTTGCATGGAAGATTCAGGGGTTTCTCCAAAAAAAAAAAAAAAATTGCATATAGGTATGCAACACTCCAGATTTATTTTTAATAAGGAAATAACATTATAACATGATTTAAGCTCAAAAAGGGAAATTTTGCATAACACTAAGCCCTTAAAGAGGAAAGGCTTGATACAGCTGTGTGTTGTACCTGATACAAAAATGCTGTGCTTGGTTTGCAGCTTGACTGTTTCCGTTATCAGCTTTGGAGCTTCAGCGATCCCACAAACAGGAGCCATGACCACTATCCTGGTTCTGACATCTGTGGGGCTGCCTGCAGAGGATGCCTACATTCTGCTGGTGGTGGAATGGCTTCTGTAAGTTCAACTTGATGCTCACAGCCTGATATTCCTGTTTCAAAATTACTTTGAAGTGTCACTGAAATGATAAAACCACTTACATGATTTAAAGAACAGCTTTTTAGAAATGATAGAAGAGAAGCAGCACAATAGACATTTTCACCTTGATCTGCAGCAGCATATCGCCCATCACTTGTTTATGATTTACCCTCTATACGTCACACAATGGTGTAGCTGGTTGTTGTAGAGTGAGGGACAGGAAACCTTCAAGAAAAGCATAGTTGAGTCTGACAGCATGATTCTCCTGTTCCTCTGTGCTCTTCAGAGACCATTTCGCCACTTATTTGAATGTTCTGGGAGACTTCTTTGCTTTGGCTGTCATCAATCATCTGTGCCAGGATGAGCTTGAGGCCGACGTCAACGAAAGGTAAATAAAATCATTAAAATTACATGTTCATGTGCAAAGACACATTATTGCCAAAAGTATTACCTTCCCGATCCAAATCACTGAATTTAGATTTTTCAGTGAACTAAACGGTTAACAGTTGTGTGAAATCCTGCACTGAGGAAAAAAGAGTGATCAGAAGAAATAGTGAAACCGACATTGGATGCCTCCTGTGTGCTACTTCTAGCCGAATAGAGGGAATAGTTATGGCAATTCCAAGGGAGTCTTGAAAATTGAGAAATTCTTAAACAAGTTTTAGATAAAGTTTTTTCTAAATGGCCATTTTTGTGGCCAGAAAATGAATTATTATTACATGGAACTCTGATCCTTCTCTATTAATATCTAAATGTTTTTTTGTTTTGTTTTTTGGAGATGAATAGCTGTGCACTTTTGGAGAAAATGACATGTAATCTTAGAAAGGGATGTAATAATTTCAGGTTGTTGCTGAACTGACTAGCAGTTACTACTCTGAATGTAGCAGGAGGTATAAAATAGTCTGAATTTGTCAGTATCCTTATAGTTTTTTAATCTTAAAGTCTTTCTTTGTATTTTAAAGACTTTTTAACAGTCACAGCTAATCCAGGTTATTATTGATTACATTTTCTATTTGTCTTGTTAGTGCTGAAATCATTAGAGACACCGAAAATGACTTGGCCTGTTTGGAGCCTGATGAACTCGCCGAACTCCCGTCCGGCGAGTTCATCCCGTCTGGCGCCTCCCCAGCAGGATCCATTTCACCTGAGTGAGGGGATCATTCACACCAACAAGCTGAAACCTCAGGACAGCGACCTGGGATGTCTGAGCTGATCATTTCCCTGTTCGCTTATAGTTATTGCTAGTTGGATGGTGTCATACATAATTAAACTTTACTATTCTGCATTTTAATGTTGTTTATACTTTTGCATGTTTGCTTTGTATTGTTGAACATGCTGCTCCTAGCAAACTGTTTGTGATGCATCATTTTAACATTTGTTCAAGATTAGCAATGAGTTAATCAGCCGAGGTGAAATTAACTGGCGCAGTTAAAACACTTCATATCCTCGATCTGTGAGGCGCACGTCAAGCCCATAAGTCAGCCAGCATCAGTGGTAAACACACCATTTTAGATTTTTACTGGTGCTGATTTATGACGAGTCATGAACCGGTTATAAGATCTGACAACATCAGCAATTTAAAGGTCAGGTACTTTATAAAAAGTTTTTCTTTTGATCTCAATCATTTTGTTACAGTCTGGGGAATCCTATTTTTTTCACTTTGTTTTTCCATTTGTCGTCTTATTATTATTATTATTATTATTATTATTATTATTATTATTATTATTATTATTATTGTTCCCTTATACTGCAGCTTCCACCCCAAAACCTATTTTAACCTTTACGTGGTCTCTGGGTTAAGGATCCGCATCGCAACTTAGATACAGATATTGCCCTTTACCCTATTGCAGAAAATACGTGTTTCAGCGTATAACTCTATATTGTTTTAAAAACTGATGAAAAGTCTACAAATAACTTCGCATGATTTTTGTCACCTTCAAGAACACAGTTTAGGAAAGTGACAGGCAGTGGCATCGACCGGCCGGCCCTGTAGGCAAACTGTAAAGGATCCAATAAATGTTCAGTCTTGGTAAGAAGATATCTCTTCATCAATTATTCCAAAGATTTCACGACAAGGGAAGTCTATGGACTGTGAACTGCTTCCAGCTCCTTGGTACCCTCTGTTGGTTAAGTGACATCTGGAAGAGCAGAAGACGTCCTAATCACTATTCTTGGACTGTTTTCTTTGGAATCACAGCATTCACAGTGAGTCACATAGCTACCAATAACACCAGTTAATTCATCCATATTACTACAAGAGTCTTTAAACATGTCCCAGTCTGTTATGTCAAAGCAATCCTGCAGGATGAGTTTGGAGCCATCAGTCTAGTCGTTAATCTGTCTAGTGATGGTTTCACCTCTCCTGAAGGCAGAACGATAAGCTGGTAAAAGCTGCACACAATTACGATCAGCTCCACCCAGTGCAGAGAGAGGCACAGAACCATAGCACAGGTCCCTGGTGGGACAGGTGACATATTGATGGAAGTCCTGATGAGTTCTTATTAATGAACAATAGTTAAAATCGCCAATCCTTATTTTGTGTGGTGGAGCATTTATTCTTTTCCTCTTGCCGTTCTTAAGGTCAGTAAAAGGATCCAAAGATGGATCAATTAGATCCGGAGGGGGAACTGGCGGAGGATCGCTCCACTGCAGAAGAAACTCCCTGCTGTCTTTAGTCTGGGCCAAATGGTCTGGAGGAAAGGAAAACCAGGGTCTCCATTATGCATAAAAACATTTAAAACGCTGAGCCAAATAAAACCTGGCAAGATATTCGCCAAGGAAGAAACAAACAAAAAAAAGTTAATTGAATTTAGATTTTTTTTCACCTCCAATTAGAACTTATTAGCTCATTAAACATTGCTGTGTATGTTGCTGCAGAATTAACTTTCCCATATAACTTTGAAACTGAAAAATCCACAATTTGCTTCATGCCACCAACTACAAACACAAGAGTGATCATGTCTAGTTTTATCTGGATGGTGCTGTAAAATGCAAAACTTGTTACATAAAAAAGCTTTATTTGCACTATAGAAATGGGGAAGTCAGGTAGACTTTTGTTTATATTCTGAAAAATTGCAGAGTTGAAAAAAAATACTTTGTAGAATTGTACAGTTTAAGATGATTATTCACTTATTAGATTTTATTTGTTACAAAATTCAGTTTAGTCCTGATACAACATGTGATCTGATGTTAATTCTCCATTTCTTTTTCTAAGTTATGAATTATGTTAGTTTACTTCCTCCTCAGGTAACCGTCAATAAACATATGTGATTTTATAAATTTCGATAATGTGCCATATCTTTCATAAAGTGCATATCATCTCAGACTGGTTTCAGTGAGTTCACTGAACTCGATTGGCCTCCACAGTCACCAGATCTCAGTCCAATTCATAAAAACATTTAGAGATGTGGGACGGATCAGGAGATTCGCATCACGGATGTTCAGCCGGCAAATCTGTAGCAACTGTGTGATGTTATTACGTCAATATGGATCAGACTCTCTGAGGAACGTTTCCAGGAAGTTGTTGAGTCTTTGACAGAAAGGAGTAAGGCAGTTCTGAAGGGGTCCAACGTGAGTGAATTTCACCAGCCATTTGAGAAAGACCAAATTTATAAACACACAAAATATCGGGAACATGCAAAAGGAAAAGTAACAACAGTAAAATCTATTGTAGTAAAGATCTATTTTATTCAAACACATAACAATAGTTATACTTACTAACTAAATAAAATATGGAGATATGAGTAGATCATTTCATATTTGCAACAAAAAAAACAACAACACATGAATAAACTGATATGGCATCTTCCTCCTAACAAAAACATAGGCAAACAAGGAAATGATCAGCTCAAACACCCCAGGATGATAACATTCCTATCCTGAGGTTTCAGCTTGCTGGCGTCACTATGCTTTTGAGATGATGCCCTCTCGTAGGTGAAATGGAACTTGAGATGGAGGAAGGGATGGAGGAGACGAACTCTTCATCAGAGTCCAAAAAGGATAAGTCCAGTTCGATGTCCGTGATGGAACGAACCCTATCAATGCTAACAGGTAAAATGGAAAACATGGTCAATAACGTTCAAGACAAACTGGAACCAAAGTACCTCTTGTTTTCCCCACTCAGTGTAAATGACTTATAACGATCTATACTCAAATTTCTCCAAACTGAAGACATTCTGATACATTTAGACCATTGTTATGGGTTTATGAGTGAATAATGCGGAGACCACTGATACAGCTCAGAAAGGGATTCACACAATGTTGACAAAAGTAATCTTTCATCTGCCTTCACACACAGGAAACTGGAGAGATGTCTATTCTCAGCCCACAGGGTTAGATATGAGCAAACCGGTCAAGTTCTTCCACGCAAAATGTAATGATACATGTTATGGACTCTGGTTTGTGTACTGGAGAGTAAACATGTGCTAACAGGAAGAAGCCATTTTCCAACTGTTCCCACAGGTTTGGGATCTTGAAATGGTAAAAAAAAGAATGCTGTGGTTCAGAACCGCCAGTCTGACATGAACGGGGAGTGAAGTGATACAGAAACCAGTTGGGGCTGGGCGGGGCTAGGCGGGGCTAGGCGGGGCTGGGCGGGGCTGGGCGGGGCTGGAGCAGGAGAGAACTGCTGATAGGTTTCTAAGAGAGCAAAGAAGCAGTTCAGCTCCTCTACCATCTGTGCACTCAGGACCCCTATTGTTCGTTTCTGTTGTTTACCAAGAGTCCTGTCACCGCAGCGCAAAGTGCGAGCTGCCCGTTGCATACTAACGTCGTATCACTCCAGAAATGATCAGAATGCAACACTCTCGAACACGGCGATTTCCAATGAGTTTCATTTTCTAAAGATCCATTTTATGCACCAGAGATCTGGCTTTGGAGAACCACAGGCTCGAAAGAAGTGACTTGTGTGAAGGTGAGATTCACAGGAAGGATGTGAGGATGTTTATTTAACAATACAGTAAAAAATGAAATTATATTTACACAATCTGAGTGTTTTTACGAGTAGAACAGCTCCTGCTACAATCAGATAATTGTTAGTTGAAACAGTTCAAAAATAACCAGCAGAGTTAAAAACTGCTGTCAAGCCTGTTTATTCAACCTCTTATTGTTTCAGTCTTCTACCTGAAGATTAAATAGATTTAGATATTTTTTGTTCTATTTACTGAGACAACAAGAATGGTAGAGTTCACTGGGATAGGGAAGGGAGTGGCCAATTATTCAGTGGCAATAACCCTTTAGAGAACCTTTTTCTTTGCAGTTTGCACATATGAAGCTTACCTTCCTCTTCAGGTAAGCATCAATGAACATATGTGATTTTATAAATTTCGATAATGTGCCAGGAAAAAAGTACAGCGCCAGGAGAAACTAAAGGGACAGCCGGCTTGTATTCCGGAGTCTGGCGACAAAAGTCTTTGCTGCTGTACTTCTTTTTTTGTTGTTACATTTGAGGCAGGATTTGGAACTTCAGACAAAATGTCCACACCGGTCTAGAGTCCGGTAGAGGAAATGTATTGACTTTAAGTCGTGCACAGGTGGCATCTCATCATGGCGTTAGTCTCAAATTCACTGTTGCCTTTGAGAGTGACCGATTTGTTCAGTCTCAGTCGTGGGTTTCAGACACACGTGGAAGCCACTGCAACGTCTGAATTCAACCATTTGGATCAGGGAGCTAATACTTTTGGCAACATTGTGTCTGCAAATGAACACATTATTTTAATGATTTAGTTTACCTTGGTACGTGTTCCAGGCTTACTAGGTCATCATGCCACACATGATTGGTGATAACAACACCAAAGACATTTACCAGCACATTCACCACGGTAATGAAATGGTCTCTGAAGGTAACAGAAGAGAACAAACATGCTTGTCAGACTCAACTATGTTTTTCTTGAAGCTTTTCTCTCCCTCAGTCTACAACAACCAGATGCACCAGGTCTTCAGACTGATGGTGACTTCAGTCTCCAAGTGTAGTTTTATCAACCATTACCACACAAGCTCTCCTCAGGCTTTCTCCACTATTAGGTGATCCTAGAAATTAGTTTATTGTGCAAGTTAAAAATCATGTTCTGGTCAAGAATAATTTCAAGCAGTCTGACAACAGACCAGCATAACTCCATCCAGGGAAACCTCACAGTTTGATGGTGAAAGTACTCTGTAAACACAAGTAGCAGGCTTTGAGAATCAAGTTGAACCTACAGAATCCACTCCACCCCAATGAGAAGGGCAGCATTCTCTGCAGGCAGTCCCACAACTTTTAGAATCAGGATAGTGGTCACAGCTCCTGTTGTTGGGATCCCTGCAGATCCAAAGGCGACAATGGAACTACACAAGCTGCAAACCAAGCACAGTCTCAATTAGCATCTTTGTCCCAGCAACAGAAATGCTGCAATCTGCAACTTTACCAATCCTTTCTTACTGTCCAGTTGCTTCAGTTCAAAATGTATAGTGAAAATGTCTATAAATATCGTGAAACACCTCAAGATTAAAGTGTTAGAATTAATGGAGAGCTTAGTCTTTGACATGCTGCTTCAACCTTCAGTGCAGCCACCACTCTGCCCAATTCAGCGTAATGATTGTGATTCTACTGTACCAGCTGCTGACCTGGACTCAGGTTTTACAGGTTGGTCATATTTTGTCAGGTGAGGCAATCAGAAATTTCAGGTTTGAATATCAAAATTGTTTTACCGTTTTATGTTTGTAGACTTGAAGTTTATATTATATTATAGTTTTTTTATGATAGCAGCCGCCTGCCAAGATGGCTGTCAGTTACAAAGTTAACAGAGGTGTGATGTCACATGACAACTATGTATTGCTCTGGGTCCCTGCTGAGGGGAAATTTTACCCATTTGGCAAATTGCTGCTCTTATCAATCCCAGCATGCACCTTTTCTCAATTCCATGCACTTATATGAAGCAGCTTACCCAATGGCGATCAGCTGGCCGACATCCAGCATTATATCATGAAGCTGGGCAATAAAGATGGCAGCGGACACTTCATAGAATGCCGTCGCAGTCCTATTGATGCTGGTGAGAATGGGCAACATAAGTCGGCAGAGTTTCTTATCGACCTTCAAGTTCACTTCACAGCATTGCAAGGTGATAGGCAGAGCGGCGGCGCTTTGGAAGAAAGCACATCCTTTATTGGAGAAACCGTTCATATGACCAAACTAGAGAAGTGTCATCCTTTTTCAACAGAACATTTCACCTGGACGCGATGATAAATGCTGTCGTCAAAGCCCTAGTGATATTCCTGAAGATATGAAGAGGGTTCTTTCTGGTGAGAATGACGTAAAACATGGGGAAAACAAGGATGGCTTGGATTGCTTGCCTGAACAACAGAACAAAGTCACACTTAGTGTTAGAGATGCATTAAGTATTCACTGGTTGTTAAACATTTATTCATACATTGATACATGTTGTCATGGTAAAGCCTGACAGATCAATGTGTTTGGAGGGATTTTATATGCTTTGCTAACATATAGTAGTCCATCACAGCAAAGTTGAATGAAAATGATACATGCTTGCAGAGAAACATCCATGAAGATTGTGCATCTCTATTCAGCCACAATGAATCCATACTTTGCAGACAAACATTTTCCTACAGCTCCACCTGCAGCCTGTTGGGTTATGTCTCCACCAGCTTCGCTCTTTCATAAAAACATTTGTCACATTCTTCTCTGCAAAATAGCACAAGCTAAGATTTAATGGAGAGTGGAAACACACAGCTTCTTGCCACCTATTACCAAATAGACACAGGTCTGGACTTTTTCTATTCCATTCTAGCACATGAATAAGCTTTGACCTAAACCAGTTATCTGAAACTCTAGACCTCGAGGGTCAGTGTACTGCAACTTTTAGATGTTTCCTTTAACCCACAAGCTTCAAGGAAACGGCTAAACTTCATAACCAGGAGTCAGTCAAGCTCAACAGAAATCTGCTAATAAGCCTGTAGTGTAGTTTCTTATCTGAAAGCTTGGTATATTGTTTGAGAAATGAACCCTGATTTAAAGATCTCCAGAACTTCCTCTCTGATGTGTCTGCTGAGTTTCTTGGTCTTTATGATGCTGTTTATTCGCTCATGTTCTCAAACAAACCTCTGAGGCCAAACAGAACTTCTGAAGGGAAATGCTTGAACTGGACCAGTTGTTTGGAGGAATCAGAGTAAAGAGGCTGACAATAATTGCATTGATGAAAACTGATCTCCAAACATAAATGAGAAAAATCTCAGTAAAATATGTAAAACTGTTCTGTAAATATGTTCATTGCACAGTTTTCTTTTCATGTCTCTCATGTAGAGTTCAGTGCTGCTGCTGCAGGAGCAGTGATATCAATTTGGTGCCAAAGATGAAAAGGAAAAGACGGTTGAACATACCCTGCCATAACCACTCCGACAAACTTTGTGAGCTTAAGGACAGCGCCCCAGTCATGCACATCCAACACATGTTCTGTGATCAGGAACAGAACTCCGACTGGCAAATACCTGAAACAAAAAAACAGTCATAAAAAGAGGTTTAATGAAAAGGGCGTTACAAATATATTTTAAGTTAACTATTAAGAGTCAAAGCAGCTGTCTTATGTAAATAGAACTGGATATGTAAAAGAAATGTCATCTGCTCAGATACTGTCTGATCTTACCACAAGATCCAGTTGACCATGATTTTTACGGCATCATTGAGACATTGAATGGCCTCCAAAGTTGTTTTTGCCATTGGTCCAATCCTGTTTAACAAGATGCCGATGGTGAATGACCAGATGACCAGTCCTATCATGTTGGGTCCATCGACATACCCGCCTATTAGTTTCGTCTCAGTGTCATTCTGCACAAAAAAAAAAAAACACAAGTATGGTGGCTCCAGCTGTCTGACAACAATGTTGTAGGATTACATCACCTTGCTGGACAAAACCTGTCAATTTTTCATAATAAGTCAACATAAAATCATTGAATTTGATGTACTTAATATGCATTTATTTAGTAAAAGACCACCCCAAGGCACTGCATAATTGTAAAATGGAAAGGCACAAATTCAAGGGTTAAAAACCTTGAATTTGAACCCTTTAAATTATTAAAAATAGCAACAAACAGAAGGGAAATGGAGCCACATGGAATATAGAAGGGAAACCAGCAAGGAGTGACTGAGAAAGAGGTGTATCACTACTGTTTGGTTGAATGCTGAACAAAGATCTGGGCTGATGAGCTAATGTGCTGCAGGTGTGAGGAGAGAGACAGTGGAAGTGGCACAAGGGCCGAGGGAGAGCAGACTTGGGACTAGGAAATTAATCCAACAAAAATAATTAGACATAAGAAACATAATGAAACTTAGAGTAACCAAGGAAAGGACTAGAGACTAAAAATATATAACTAGAAACACTAAGAAGGAATTGATGTAAAAATAGAAACAAGGCAGAACGAAGTAAGTATGGAACACAAACAATGACAAAACAAACTCAAACAACCCAAGATTCTGGCAGTATAAATGTTTGCATGCTTGTTTGTCCTAATGTTTGCTCTATTACAACTGTGGAGCACCTTACTGTCACATTGGCAAACACCACCTCCCCATTCAGGCTTTAAATTAGAAGAAACTCAAGGCCGTTCGTTTTCTTCCTCTTCTATTTGAGGTTTGTGGCTGTAAAATGACGATTCTAGACTGAAAGCAAAGATCAGAAGAAAACACTCACTGTGTTTAGCTCACGTATTGGGCCAGGTTTTATTTTTTTAACGTGAACAATCTCAGTCTTGTACTGGGAGAAAAAAAAAAAGAAACGGTGTTAAATTCCCAAACCCCAAATGGGAAATTACAGTGAGCTGTGGGCCAGAATGAAAGCGTACCTGCTCATAGAAAGCCTGAAAGAAGCTCTCTGGGACCATATTCCTATGTGAGTGAAAGGAGAGTCAGAAAAAAACCGAGATAAGCTTTAAAGACAAAAAACCTGAGGATATCGTTTCACCCAGAGTCTCATCTCACAAAAACCTAGATAGTTTAACCAGTAGTAGTCAAAGATGATAAAATCTTAAATTTAACATACAACTAGAAAATGCAGAATCATCATGAATTTGTCTCACCTTATAAGGTCCTGCAAGATCACGTGCAAGACGTAGCTTGCCTGACTCTCTTCTCCAATGTGTACTTCGTGTTCTCCAGCACCAGGTTGGATTGTGAGAGTCAGAAACGTTGCTGCAACACAAAATGTCAGGCAGGATGGCAAAAAGCAATAACACGGTACAAACAATAACGGTCTTCATAAATCTATTGCCCATGATAAATTTACCAAGAATTACGGCTATTAAGGTGGAGCCGCAGATGAAGCCTCCTGTGATGAAAGCTGATTTCCGGGACACTGTGGTGTTTAATCCAGTTACTCCTGAGAAAAAAGAACAGAACCAGAATTTCCTCTGAAGGCCAAGAAATGATCAGGACAACATGCCAGTTCATGTGTGTCCTAACAATAATCTTAAATTTCAGAACTGATCTCCATGTTCTTAAACTGCTTAGTTATAAGAAATAAATGTAAGAATATCAGATGAGTCTAGTACATAGATACAGATGTAATCACATGTTTTAATCAACATTTATACAAAATATCCTCAAAAAAATGAGTGAGCTTATTTTCAGTCTAGCTCTATGACAATTATAAGTTAATATATCACATATCTGAATTCATATTCAGCTTGCCTGCAACCACGCTTGTCACGATGAGGGGGAGACCAAACATCTGGAGCATTTGTAGAAGCATATCCCCTGGTATTTTGATCCAGTCTTTTATTTCATCAGTAATAGGAACTACGGCCCTCAGCAGAAACCCCAAGCCTAGCCCTGTCAGGCAGAAACAAAAGAAAAAAAATTCATAAACAGAATATACATGTCGGAGGTTTGAGATGATGTTCTGATCCTGTTTCACTCCAAATTGTCTGATGCGAGGCGTACTGCCTGACGCCCAGCAACCGCAGCTTCATGGCGCTTTATGAGAGAGTTTAGGCTTCATTTGGACAGACAAGCGGCGAAACCAGGCAGAAATGTTGAACCTAATGATGCACCAAACGATGCCTTCTTCTATATTACAGTCTGTTGAAAGAGCAGCATCACTTTCTAACACAAGAGGCCGTCAGCCTGCTCAGAAAGTGTCGTCGCTGTTACAGACCGAGTCAACCTGAGCAGTTCATTGGAGTGTGTTGTCAATTTGTATTCCAGTGTATTTGTAAGAATCCACCTCGGCAAATAGATGCAATGGATGAATAATCTCCTATTGCCTTCAGACTCTAAATACGTTCCTGTGATATTTGGACATTAAGGAAGAGAAAATGTTCCTCACAACACTGAGGACTGAAGTTTTTAGTCTGCTGTCAGTGGTTGATTTGTTTGAAATGAGGCAGAGAATAGCTGTGTCATCAGAAAATTGGAACTTGTAGTTATTTTGTGTATTACAGTGTATTAAGCTGCATAGCATCAAGAGAAAACACTAAAAAATATTAGGCATTCCATTGGTGCATTAAATGTAATATTTCATGTGCGCTTTTACTCATTTTAGTTTTCAAGCAGCAATTCCACCATAAAGAGAAATCAGTGAAAATCACGAGAAGAAAGAAAGTAAGTACTTACCCAAGGTGACTCCTATCATGCAAAAGGCCTGAAGCAAGCTTTCTTTCATTGTTTTTGTTTTGCTGTTGTCCAGTCAGACAGAGAGACCAGTTACTCGCAGCTGTTCAACACATTTGTCACACTTTTTCAAAAGATGCCCAGCAAAGTATGTTCGGTCTCTATGGATACCTTGGTGAAATAAATAACACTACTTCAAATTCAAATTCAAAAATATCTTATTATTTGAAAAGGGAAATTAAATGTTGTTGTTACTCATATTGATTAAACATTTTCAAAGAGTTATTGTAGATGGCTGTTGGAAGGACAGATCTCTTGCACACCACTATGTCTTACAACTGTTTAAAAATAAACACAGTGGAGGGAAAACTGTTATAAGTTACAGCAGAAGTTTGGCGGTATTTCAGAAAAATTAATTAAAACTAAACACTGATCAAAAATTACACTGGGCTACAATTTTTTTTTTTTTTTTTTTGCAAGTTGTCTATGTTTTTTCAACTGAATTAGGATTAGTTTGCACCACTGAGTCCAAAAATGATATCCATTCTTCTCAGGTTGGGTTTTTATTCTAATTTGATTCAGAGAAATCCGGTCTTCTGACTGAATTGATTACATTTTTGTGACATCGGTTCATTTTCGTTAATATTTCTCATTCAAAAAAAGGTTTTAGGACGAAACAATTGTTTTCTAACAGCGTGTCTCAAATGTTACAAATTTAGATTTCTGTAAATTGAAAAGTAAACACTGATAACTGATTCATGTGAACTGAACATTGTGCCTCGATTGTGCAAAAGTCTCTCATTGATCAGATTCTCAGGAAACCGATTGAGATAAGTTCACCTCAAGAAATAATTTCATGCTATGTTCATACTTTCATTCATAAAACTGAACATTGTATTACATTAAATTATTTTTAAAATGATAGCAGTACATTTGTTCCAAAAACACAAAGGGCTTTATTTACAAAGTATTATTGTATCAATTAGCAAAACTGACGTTTAGCTCAAAATTGCAGGCTATAAACAGAAAGACGGGCGTTTAACTACTAGACACACAACGTCAAGAAAATAAATAAAACAAATAATTATTTATATTTAAACAATGAGGATTAAGAAAATTAGCTTTAGAAGACAAGGAAATGCGGCAGCAGGTCTTTATTGAGCAAACACTGGAGAAATGTTTCAGTAAAGACAAAACATAGTAAACATGCAAACGTAAAAATACTGAAATACTAGAGAAGTTTAATACAAATGGATAAACTGGCAACATCCTACTGAAAATGTATGCAAACAAGGAAATGATCAGCTCAGACCCCCCAGGATGTTGATGTCCCAATCTTGAGGTTTCAGCTTGATGGTGTTGATATGGTGCTGAGATGAGGAGTGGCGGGGGGTTGATCTCATCATTAGGCTCCAAACATGACAAGTCCAGCTGCATCTGACTGATGGAACGAATCCTAACAGGCAAACTGGAGAAAAAAAAAACATGGTCGATATCGATCTGAACACACTGTGGCTAAAGTTCCCCATATCTTACCACTTGGTGGAAATAACTTACAACAATCTACTTTCCAGATTTATTTCCACCAGAATTTGACGCAATATTTTATCAAATATTTCAAAGGAAAGTGCACAAACTGGAGACACGCTGAGCACTTTTTAGATCATTGTTATGCAGGTGAAGAGAGTGAATAATGCACAGACCATTAACACAAGAAAATTGGTTTCCTTCTATTTCCCAAAAACCATTATTGTTGGGTTAACTGGTCCCACTCATAACCAGTGGCTATGAGTGTTTGCATGTGTGACTGCTTCCCCCTTTGCCCGTCTCTTCCTATTTATAGGCAACCAGTAGGGGGCGCCAAAAAACACTCATCACATGGTAATTACAAAACTATTTAGCAAGAATTTCCTCTGTATCTATTACCCGTTCCGCATGGTTGTTTGTCTCAGTGTTATTCTGTGATGCGCCCCTCTCTGCAATAGGATGGCACAACTGCCCTGAAGTGTGTTGAAAATAAACACTACTTCTCCTTTCAGGTCTTAATTTAGAAGAAATTTAATCCAACCCATCCTTTAACTTCCTATTCACTATCAAGTACTTTTTTGTGTTTTTGATTACTTTAAATTGAAACAAAATATATTGAAGTTTATGATTGTCATGTGACGTGTGAAAAATTATAAAGATGATTATAAAGACATTTGGCAAGTGCTCTAGAATAAAAACAAAGATCAGAACCCCTTCATGGGTTCCTATAAAACAAACATTTTTTACAATAGCAGTTCAGCACTCGTCGTATCCTTGGACTCAGAGCCGGTCCGCACAAGATGCACTACTTTTACTATTGTACAATTTTTGGGTGCCCTATGTATCCAACTGACTTGGCAGATGTATCAAAGTCTTTCCAAATGCTACATCCATGTTCTAACATGAATACGTTAGTTTTCATAAAGCAAAATGTCTGCAGGCAAAGCAATATCCTGCATATCTAGGGACAGAGAAACTAACCAGAGAAACGTGACCAATGTTTACTGTGACCGACAAATCAATTCACATTCAAACTTCAGCTACACCTCAATAGTGTCAGAAGAAAATACATTAAAAAGATGTTATACATTTCATTAGCTATTAAGATTTCACATTTTAAATGTGTTTTAACTGATTTGAGTTAAACATCCCATGTTAGTTTAACTGCTAACCTTCAGCTCATGAAGCAGCAATAGGAGAAAACATGTCAGAACTCACCCAAGAAACTCACACACAGAGCAGACCTCTGGAACAAGGTGGCTATTGTTTTCATTGCTTCACAGTGGTCCAGTAAGCTGAGACGGATGGGGCAGTCTCTCACATGTGTTAAAGACAATTAGCTGCTGTTGTGACATTTTATCTGACATTTTATCCCCTTTACAAAAAATGCCCTGAAAAACATGTTTGGTCTCCATGGAAATCTTGGTAAGATATATAACGTAACTTGAATATTTTGGAATTATTTTTTAAAAATACCTCAACCATTTCTTTTATAAATTAGTAATAATAAAAAAGGCTGTCCTACAACAGCAGCATAATGACTGGCAATTTGTTAAAAATTAATTATTTTCACAAAATGATTTTATGTAATGTTCCTGCATTTACACATAAAAATTAAACGTATATTCAATTCAATTGTTTTCAGTCTGAGAGCAGTGAACATGTTCATGCAACATAAAGGATTATATTCACAAAGTATTGTATCAGTCAAATGTTGTATATTGAGAACTGGTCATACACTCAAGTCAAATGCAAAGTTACAGAGGTTAAAAACAGAAAGATGAGCATTCAACTACTACAGACACACCATTAAATTATCTGTATAACCAAATAAAGTAACAGGTCAAAACCAATTATTGGTAATAAAACAGTGAGGATTCAGAAGTGGGAGAAAACCAATTACAGAAGATGAGGAACTGTGGAGAAATATTTCCATCCTACTTGTATTCTACAAGTACAAAGAACAAATTCAGAAAATCAGAAAAGACAATACATAGTAAACACTCAAAAGCAAAAATACAAAATCTACAACAGCAAAGGTGAATTATCTTCAAACACATAACAATTAACAACTTAAAGAGCAATAAATTTGGAATAGAGATCACTTACAAATCGCAAAAAACAGAAATAAAATAGAAACTAAATACAGATCAATAAACTGATAAGGCACAATTTTATAAATATATAAAAATATTTTATATAAATTATTATACACAAACAAGGAAATGATCAGCTCAGACACTCCAGGATGGTGACATCCCTATCCTGAGGTTTTGATATATCAGAGTTAATGTGGTGCTGAGATGATCCTTCACTTCGGTGAAAGGGATCCTGCAGGGGAGGCGGCGCGAGACGGGTTGAGCTGTAGATCGGCCTCCAAACAGGTTAAGTCCAACTCGAGCTCACTGGTGAGACGAACCCTGTCAATGCTAACATGTAAAATGGAAAACATGGTCAATCACACTGGTCAACAGCCAAAAGGTTGTCTGGGGGTTTTCATCTCTTTTAGGGCCATTTTCATGTGCTGAATCCAAAAACTGCATTGTTTTCAATCAGGTCGACTTTCTGAACTATGGATGCAACATGAGCATCAATATGTGTGACTTGTTCTCACATATTTATCAGATTTCTGAGAATCTGGGATCAATGAGTGGAGAGACTCCATCAGGACAGAGAAGAGACGGAGCATTTTGTACAATGCAGACGCAATGTTCACATGTACTCACCCTGACCAGTGTTTACTCTTCAATTTAAAGAAATCCAAGTTTGTAACATTTAATTACTACATTTTGTTGGAAAACAATTTTTTTCTCCTGCAGTCTTTTTTGGATGAGAAATATTAACAGAATTGAACCGATTTGAACTGATAATGTCACAGAAATGTAATCAGTTCAGTCAGAGGATCATATTTCTCTAATTTTTTTTGACATTTTTGGATTCAGTGGTGCAAAATAATCCTAATTTAGTTGAAACAAACATAGACAACTTCCAAAAAATATTTTTTGGTAACCCAGTGTAATGACCTGGACAAACTGTGATTAAAGTACTCTGTATCAGTGAAAATGACAAGAGCTGCTATCCTGACAAACCACTGACTGTCCTGACAAACCCAGTTGTTAGGACACCAAAGTGCATTGTCATTTTCATTGTAAAAATTTCATAGTAATGAAAATGAGAAGCACCTTTTGCACAGTAAATCTACTAAAAATACAAAAAAGGATTTTAAAGACAGATTGAATTCAATAATAAAAATAAAAGGATATTTATACAGTCTGACTATGTAGAATAACTCATGCTACAATTAGCTGCTTTTTTTTTCTCTCGTCCATCCATCCATCTTCTGCCGCTTATCCGGGGTCGGGTCGCGGGGGTAGCAGCTTAAGAAGGGAGGCCCAGACCTCCCTCTCCCCAGCCACTTCCTCCAGCTCCTCCGGGGGAATCCCGAGGCGTTCCCAGGCCAGCCGAGAGACATAGTCCCTCCAGCGTGTCCTGGGTGTAACCCATGTGACCGACATGACCCAATCATCTTCCCTTTTAAGCCCATCCCTTTAAGTTCATTGTCATGTGTGTTTCCGGGTTGGCTGCTGCTCACTGTTGGTTGTCGCGTCCGTTGTTGATAAAACAACTTGAAGTTAAAAATCGACTCATCACTCATTTAATCTAAACTCAACTTTGAAGATTTCTGCTGGAACACCTTCCTGAATTGAACAAGTTACCATTGCATCCACCTCCTCAGACAATCCGTTACTCGACGGTCAGGTTTTTTTTCTTCCGGACTCCTGCATGGATACATTGGATGACGGAAGATGGCGAGCTACCCACCCACCATCTGGTGGTAGGAAACAGAACTACACTTTCCATATAGGAACTGAACAGACTCTAAGGAGTATCAAAAAGGGAAAATAACTATTCTCCCTTCATTTTTGGACCTCTTGTGGACTCTATTAGGTTTTGAAGTGTCACTGACAAGTGTTTTTTTGTTTTCTATTTTCTGTTTTTTGAGAACTTTATTTATTTATTTTTGTTGTTTGGTATTATTATCATTATATTATTATTATTATTATTATTATTATTATTATTATTACTATTATTATTATTGCCACTGCAATAAATAGCAGTATTAACAAACCTTTTTTGGCATCAATTGTATTAATTATTCACCCAATCATGACTCCATGTCGTACCTACTTCTGATCTACAAACTGGTTAACACTATACCTTGCAGTCAGATCTGCGCATCAAAAGAAAGCGTTACATGTGGCGAGCCAGCCAGGAGTCTTGTAATGGGTGAATAATTGAACAATTTCACAGTGCTTTGATTTTGGATGTGTTATCATTAACAAAAAGAAACAATGGATGTTGTTACTCAGTTGGGTTTAAACATCCAACGATCTGTGTTAGTTACTGGCACTCAGAGCTGTGATGACGAAAAAGAAATCATTGAACGTTTAGAATGTTATGGTGCAGTAAAATATGTTTTTCATGTTAGTGAGCCACAAAGTGCATTTTATAAAAACCTGATTGTCGAGTTTGAAGAAGATTCTACTTTAAATGCCTTACAACCCCTTTTCCCATATTATCCTTCCCGAAGTGGCTTAGATGTGACATTTCGTGTTACTTCTCTTGCTTCAGAGTATGAAGCCTCAGTGAGTAGCAGCAACCCTTCCATGGACTACATTGATGAGCTGAAGAACATAGCTAAACGAAGCGGAAAACGATTTGAGGAGGTTCTTAAAGGTGTGATGGATCAAATAAGCACACATTTGGAGAATGCAGGAGGCGATGATGGAGATGAGGATGATGATGATGGTGGTGATGGAAAGGAGGAAGATGAGGAAGATGAAATCCTCAACTTAGCCCAGCCTGTGCAGAGTCAGCAGACGCTGCGAACTGTGCCTCAAGCGTTTTCAGCCCCTCCACCCCATTTCGTCCACTAATTGGCAGGGGGCGCCACCTGGATTTAGCCGCCCCATTACACCACCAACCCAGAGGGTTTCTTTATCGGGGAATGACCTTATTCCGCAGAATATTCAAAAAGTGCTGGTGGAGCATGTTGTAAAAAATAGCGACTTTTCCACATCTTCACTTAGACTCCGCTCATTTTCAGGAAAAATTCCTAAACCAAGCAATGAAGCGGATTATGACTCATGGCGATCCCAGATTGAATTGCTGCTTGCTGATCCCAGCCTTTCCAGATTGCATATTAATCGGTGAATTGTTGAAAGTTTGTTATCACCAGCTGCTGATTTGATTAAATGTTTGAGCCCTGGTGCATCACCTTCCACTCTTCTTGAAGTCCTTGATTCAGCTTTTCAGACAGTACAGGATGGAGAGGAGCTTTTTGCTCAGTTTCTGAACATTTTCAGAATCCTGGAGAGCGGCCATCCTCTTACCTCCAGCGATTACAGCTTACTCTCAGCACTGTAATAAAAAGAGGAGGAATATTACCAGGAGACAAGGACATATATTTACTTAAGCAGTTCTGTCGTGGATGCTGGGACAATTCAGTCATCTCTAAGTTGCAGCTTGTGGAGAAGAAAAGCAATCCCCCACCATTTTCTGAACTCCTGTTGTCACTCCGGACAGAAGAGGACAGACAAATTGCTAAAGAATCTCTAATGAGAAAGCATATCCAGTCATCTAAACAAAAAGTGACCATTCAGTCTCAGAGTACTTGCTCTTGTGGTCATGAGACAGCTAATGAAGAGCTGAAAGAATTAAAAAAGCAGATTCAACAACTCCAAAGGCAGATGTCTTCCCTCATGTCCAGAAAGACACCTGTTAGTAAAAAATCAGAGGTAGAGCAGACCAAGTTTAAGCCAAGTACCAATTATAGTTCATTTCAGACCGCTGGAAGACCAAAGGCAGGATATTGCTTTAACTGTGGTGAAGATGGCCATATTTCTTCCCATTGTAATAACAAAGCGAATCCAAGCCTTGTGGAACAAAAGAAGAAACAGCTTCGTCAGAAACAACAAGCATGGGATGAAAAGAAATCGAGCCAGCAGTTAAACTAAATGCAGTTCCTGCTGAGGGACACTCAGGAGCTGCTACCATCAGCTGTCCCGAATCCCATTCTGAATTGTCCTGTGTATTACCCAAGGGTCTCATTGGTATGAAGAGCATGGGCGAGATTCAAATAAGGAACCCCCTTCAGCTGTCTTCTTGACAGTGGGTCGCAAGTCACTACAGTACCCCATTCATTTTATAATATGCACCTTTTTGACCATGAAATTATGCCTCTGAACAATCTGTTGGAAGTGGAGGGTGCTAATGGCCAAAATGTACCATACCTTGGGTACATTGAATTAAATTTGACTTTTCCACCTGAATTTCTTGGTTCACCAATTGAAGTGGACACCTTAGCTCTGGTGGTCCCAGATATCAAAACCACACATCCACTTCTACTAGTAGGCACAAATACCCTTGACATTGCTTACAAGAAGCACCTTGAGAGCCAGGCTACTACTTTTAAACCCACTGCCTTTGGGTATCAAACTGTCCTGAAGATCCTGCAGCACAGGCATACTCAAACTGCATCTGAACATCCAGTTGTCCTAACTCTGCAGCCTGACCAACCACAAATGATATTATCTGGCCAAACTGTTGTCCTTGAGGGATGTTTGACCACACAGTCATTGAAGGAAGAGAAGGTGGTTGTTGTCGAATACCCAGCCTCTTCCTGTCTGCCTGGGGGCTTATGGTTAATACCTGTCTCATTAACATACCTCAACATCGGCCTTGTCACCTGCCAGTTGTGGTAACTAATGAGTCAGACCATCCAGTCATCATCCCCGCAAGAGCAGCGATTGCAGAGATTGCTGCGTTCCAGTCTGTTATTTCCAAAGAGCACAATGTTAAAATCCATAAGTCTGCAGAGCCATTAACAACTCAGCTTCAATACAATTTTGGAGAATCACCTCTAACAGAATGGAAAAGTCGGATTATTTCAAAGCTCAACAATATACCAGAGGTTTTTGCCAACACGACCTTGATTTTGGTCGAACAGACAAGGTGAACATCAAATTAAATTGTCTGACCCTACACCGTTTAAACAAAGACCACGTCCTATACATCCACAGGATGTGGATGCTGTGAGAAAACATCTGCAAGAATTGCTTGAGTCTGGAATAATCCGTGAATCGGAGTCTCCATTTGCCTCACCCATTGTGGTGGTTCGCAAGAAGAATGGCTCTGTACGCCTCTGTATTGATTATCGGAAACTCAACATGCAAACCATTAAAGATGCTTATGCCCTTCCGAAGCTAGAAGATGCATTCACTGCACTGGCAGGCTCTAAATGGTTCTCTGTGATGGACCTAAAATTGGATATTACCAGATAGAAATGGAAGAAGCTGATAAGAACAAAACAGCCTTTGTTTGTCCTTTAGGCTTCTGGGAATTTAATCGCATGCCACAGGGAGTAACCAATGCTCCAAGCACTTTTCAACGACTTATGGAAAAATGTATGGGTGAGCTCAATCTGAAAGAAGTCCTGGTTTTTATTGACGATTTGATCATCTTCGCACCAACTCTTGAAGAACACGAAGAAAGATTAATGAAAGTCCTAAACAAATTAAAGGACTTTGGACTAAAACTGTCCATTGAAAAATGTGTCTTCTTCCAAACTTCAGTGAAGTATCTTGGCCATGTTGTGTCCAAGGATGGTGTGGAGACGGATCCTGATAAAATTTCCACTCTTGCATCTTGGCCGGTGCCAAAAAACTTGAAGGAATTAAGATCGTTCCTGGGATTTGCAGGGTATTATCGGCGATTTGTGAAAGATTATTCTACAATCGTCAAGCCACTACATGACCTTACCGCTGGCTATCCACCTAGCCGAAAGAAACTAAAACCTATGTTGAAACCCCAGAATTATTTTAACCCAAAAGAGGTTTTTGCTGAACGTTGGACTGAATCCTGTCAGCATGCATTTAAAACCATTATTGAAAAACTCACTACTGCTCCTGTATTGGTATTTGCAGATCCGAGCAAGCCATACATTCTTCATACTGATGCCAGTTCAGCAGGCCTTGGAGCAGTGCTATATCAAGAAAATGATGGAAAAAATCGAGTTGTAGCCTATGCAAGCAGAGGTCTGTCTAAAAGTGAATCAAACTACCCAGCCCATAAATTAGAATTCCTGGCACTTAAATGGGCAGTGACTGAGAAGTTTAATGACTACCTTTATGGCACACAATTCACTGTGGTCACAGACAGCAACCCGTTGACCTATCTGTTGACATCAGCTAAGCTTGATGCTACAAGTTATAGATGGCTCTCTGCTCTGTCCACATTTACCTTTAAGATTGTCTACAGGGCAGGAAAACTGAATGCTGATGCTGATGGGCTGTCCCGACAACCACATTCTGAAATGCCTGATGATTTTAAGTCTTGTAAAGAAAGGGAGAGTGTGTTAAAGTTCGTTCAACATCATCTCGAGGAACCAGGTTGCACCTCAGTTGACCAACAAATGGTTGAAGCCATCTGTGACCGCCAACTGGTGTTCAGCTCAAACAATGACCATGCCCTTGTTCTCTCTTTGTCTGCTCATGTGGAAAGTCTACCTGACAGCTACACAGACGACACCCAATTTGCCACCTCTGTTCTCCCTCGGTTCTCCACTGCTGATCTTGCTGCCAAACAACGAGCTGATTCCACCATCCAACATGTGATTGCTCAGCTTGAGAGAGGGGAATCTCCACCGCCAGCACTGAGAGATGTACTTCCAGATCTGCCACTCCTGTTGAGAGAAGTAAATAAAATGGAGCTCCGTAACAACCTTCTTCTCAGGAGACAGAAAGTGGGAAACAGTGTGACATATCAGTTAGTGTTACCAGAAGAGTGTCGGCATATGGTGATGTTTCAGCTTCATGATCGTATGGGCCACCTTGGGATCGAGGGTTAGGGTTAGGGTTAGACCTAATTCGTTCTCGGTTTTTCTGGCCACGAATGTCTACTGACATTTATAATAAAATCAAGACCTGTGAACGATGTGTAAAAAGGAAAACCTTACCAGAACGGGCTGCACCTCTCGTTAACATCAAGACTTCAAGACCTCTAGAGTTAGTGTGCATGGACTTCTTGTCTTTGGAGCCAGACCGAAGAGTGAAAGATATCCTTGTGATTACAGATCATTTCACAAAATATGCTGTCGCTGTTCCAACACCAAATCAAAAAGCTCAAACTGATGCTAAATGCTTGTGGGAAAATTTCTTTGTCCACTATGGCATTCCAGAGAGACTACATAGTGACCAAGGACCGGATTTTGAGTCCCGTACCATCAAAGAACTTTGTGATATTGCTGGCATCCATAAAGGAAGGACAACTCCCTATCACCCGAGAGGTAACCCTGTGGAAAGATTCAATCGTACTCTACTTAACATGCTGGGGACATTAAGTGAGCAGAATAAATCACGATGGAAAGATTTTGTAAAACCACTTGTGCATGCATATAATTGCACTAAGAATGATGTCACAGGGTTTTCGCCATACGAACTAATGTTTGGTCGTCAACCTCGTCTTCCCATAGATGTGGCTTTTGGGTTACCGCTGGAAGAGGATACCTCCACCTCTCACCTGCAATATGTCCAAGGATTGAAAGCACGTCTACAAGACAGTTATCAGTTGGCTGTGAAGAACTCGGAGAAAGTGATGTCCCGCAACAAAACCTCCTTCGATCGGCATGTCACTGTTTCTGAACTTGCCGTGGGAGACAGGGTCCTTGTTAGGAACGTCCGACTGAGAGGAAAGCAGAAATTGGCTGACAAATGGGAACCTGATATGTATGTAGTGGTGGAGAGGGCTGGCAATCTCCCTGTTTACACTGTAAAACCAGAGAACCAGGATAAACCTCTCAGAACACTCCATCGTATCTTTTGTTGCCTTGTAATTACTTACCTGAGCAGAGCTCTGAAAAAAACTTACTATGAAGAAGAAAAACATCTGCCTGTGAACTTACCTGATCCTGACAATGAAGAAACTTTTGAGGATGAGATGATCTCACCTTCATATGATCCCTTTTCTTTCGAGCCTGTGAAATTCATCACTGCTGTTAATTTACCATTGCCACCTGTCCAGAAATCTGTTCCACCTGCAGATCTACCTGAAGTTCCTGATCAGCCCCCATCCTCTGCTGCAGAAGAGGATTTAGAACAGGAACTTCTAGTGGTTACAGAGGAGCAAAGGGAATTTCAACCTTTGGACAGAGAGGTGATATCCATCAGTTCAAGATCTGATGATTCTGCAAGAGATGCTGCAGGAGGCCCTGCAGCTGAGGGAAGTCCTGCTCCTGAGCCAGTCACTCCAGAGCCTTCCACTAACAATATTGAACTAGAAGTGGACTTAAATGTTCACCCAGAACCATCAAGCCCTGAAACAGAACCATCAAGCCCTGAAACAGAACCATCAACCCCTGAAACAGAACCATCAAGCCCCGAATCAGAACATCTTTGCGGAGGTCAGTCCGAGCAAGAAGACCACCAGAACGTCTACAGTACTCTCAACTGGGTCACCCACTGTTGAAGAGCATCCAGTTATTGTTTCATGGGCTGACCACTGCATTTACGCATGCTCTTGAAGGGAATGAGGAGGATGAACCCATGACTGTTCCTGTTGTCATTCAAACGCAACCCGGTCCATGTACGGGGACGTGCATGAGATCAGGGGGGGAACCTGTAACCCATGTGACCGACATGACCCAATCATCTTCCCTTTTAAGCCCATCCCTTTAAGTTCATTGTCATGTGTGTTTCCGGGTTGGCTGCTGCTCACTGTTGGTTGTCGCGTCCGTTGTTGATAAAACAACTTGAAGTTATAAATCGACTCATCACTCATTTAATCTAAACTCAACTTTGAAGATTTCTGCTGGAACACCTTCCTGAATTGAACAAGTTACCATTGCATCCACCTCCTCAGACAATCCGTTACTCGACGGTCAGGTTTTTTTTCTTCCGGACTCCTGCATGGATACATTGGATGACGGAAGATGGCGAGCTACCTACCCACCATCTGGTGGTAGGAAACAGAACTACACTTTCCATATAGGAACTGAACAGACTCTAAGGAGTATCAAAAAAAAGGGAAAATAACTATTCTCCCTTCATTTTTGGACCTCTTGTGGACTCTATTAGGTTTTGAAGTGTCACTGACAAGTGTTTTGTTTTCTATTTTCCTGTTTTTTGAGAACTTTATTTATTTATTTTTGTGTTTTGGTATTATCATTATCATTATTATATATTATATTATTATTATTATTATTATTACTATTATTATTATTGCCACTGCAATAAATAGCAGTATTAACAAACCTTTTTTGGCATCAATTGTATTAATTATTCACCCAATCATGACTCCATGTCGTACCTACTTCTGATCTACAAACTGGTTAACACTATACCTTGCAGTCAGATCTGCGCATCAAAAGAAAGCGTTACATGGGTCTTCCTCTCCTCCCGGTGGACGTGCCCGAAACACCTCACCAGGGAGGCGTCCAGGAGGCATCCTAACCAGATGCCCAAGCCACCTCAACTGGCTCCTCTCGATATGGAGGAGCAGCGGCTCTACTCTGAGTCCCTCCCTGATGACCGAGCTTCTCACCCTATCTCTAAGGGAGAGCCCAACCACCCTACGGAGGAAACCCATTTCGGCCGCTTGTATCCGCGATCTCGTTCTTTCTGTCATGACCCAAAGCTTATGACCAAAGATGAGGGTAGGAACGTAGATCGACCGGTAAATCGAGAGCTTCACTTTTTGACTCAGCTCTCTCTTCACCACAATGGACCGGTCCAGCGCCCGCTTCACGGCGGACGCTGCACCAATCCGCCTGTCGATCTCCTGCTGCCTTCTTCCCTCATTCGTGAACAAGATCCCCAGATACTTGAACTCCTCCACTTGGGGAGGAGCAGGATTTCAAACTCTAGACAACACGTCCACACTGGTCTGGAGTCCCTTTTACGAAATGCAATGACTGGAAGTAGTGCACAGGTGGCATCCTCTTAATCTCAGAGCCTATTTGTTCAGGCTCATTGCTGGAAGCCACTGGAATACCTGAAGTCAGTCATTTGGATCGGGATGCTTTTCATGTCTTTCCAAATAAACATAATTTTAATGATTTCATTTACCTTGCTGGTTTGTCCAGGTCTTCCAGCTCGTCATGGCACAGAAAATTGATGATAACAACACCAAAGCAGTCTCCAATTATATTCACCCCGGTGAGGATATGGTCTCTGAAGGGCACAGAAGAAGAAAACAAATATGCTGTTAGACTCAACCATGTTTTTCTCAAAGATTTTCTTTTCCTTACTCTACCACAACCAAAAAAAATAAAGAAAAAGAAAAAACAAATCTACATGCAACACAGGGAGCCAGGGCAGAACAAAAACTTGAATCCAGGTGTAAAGACAACAAGGTATTGATAAGGTTTAAGAGGAGAAGAGGTATATACATACTGGGAGATTGAATGCTGGAACAATTGAATGGGGCTGACAGGTTGCAGGTGTGAGGAGAGAAAGAATGGCAGCAAGAGGTGAGGGAGAGTAAATATGATAACTAGGAGAATGTATTTAAGAGCAACAAATAATTACTAAACTCAGGAAATGAATAAACATAAACTGTAATTACTAAGAAGAAATGAACTAAAGTAAAACAGAAATAAGGCTGATATTATCAAAGAATGATAATATCAGAGTAAATTCACCAAAACAACTGAAAACAGCCCAATACCTGATGACATGCAAGTTAAAAATCATGACTGGGACAAAACTCACTTGTAAGTTTCATGATTGCAGATCAGCAAAACTCAACCTAGATTGACCAGATGGTTTGACGATGAAAGTACTTTTTAACTCTGAGTTTCAAGTTGAACTTACAGAACCCATTCCACTACGACCAGCATGGCAGCGTCTCTGGCAGGCAGTCCCACAGCTGTCAGAATCAGGATAGTGGTCACTGCTCCTGTTGCTGGGATTCCTGCAGCTCCAAATGTGACAATGGAAGTAGTCAAGCTGCAAACCAAGCACAGTCTTCATGAACATTGCTGTCTAAAGTACAACACACAGCCATAATAAAGCCTTTCCGTGGAGCTCAAATTCGTATAAATTAAACTGCTGCTTCCTTGGCCCTTCAAGAAAGCAGCTTACCCAACAGCAATTATCTGGCCAGCATCCAGCGTGATGTCATTCATCTGGGCAATAAAGACAGCAGCGATCACTTCGTAGATCGCGGTCCCATTCATATTAATGCTGGTGAGAATGGGCAACATGAGGCGGCAGAGTTTCCCATTGACCAATAGGTTATTTTCACAGCATTGGAGGATGACAGGCATACTGGCAGTGCTATAGCAGAAAACACATCCTTCATTGGTGCACCGTTCATACGAGCAAACTGGAAAAGTGTCTCTCTTTGACAACAAACAGAACATCTTACCTGGACGCAATGATAAATCCAGTCATCCAAGCCTTAGTGGTACTCTTTAGGATGACAAAGGGATTCTTTCTGACAAACACGAAGAAGATCAGGGGAAGAATAATGAAGGAATGGATTACTAGCCTGGAAGAGACAATAATCACATTCAGTGTCAAAGACATGCAATGCAAAAGTATTCATTGGTATTCATCTGTGACACTTTTATGTATTTTGTAATAATAATGGTAAATAATAATTAATTTGACTTGGAACACATTTTATATCTTGGGATCTCAAATGGCACACAGTAAAACTACAGAGTTCAAAGTATTTGGAGAGATTTTATAACTGAGAAAACTTTCTCTTTCTCTCCCCCCTTTCATTCACATCAACACATTTTCGCTCTTTTATTTAGAAATTCACAACCCTGTCATCTTCACGGTGACTTGGAATTAATTATCAGTTGCACTTTGGGAATGCAAGGCTGGGGAAAAAATAATGCTGAAATTTATGAGTCTTTTTTAAATAAAAGAGTGCAAGTGTGTTGACGTGAATAAAAGGAGAGAGAGAGAGATATGCTAACACAATAGCGCATTGTTGTAAAGTGGAAAGAAAATAATGCCTGGTTGCACAACAATATCTATCAAGATGTTTGTGCATTTGTTATCATCCTGCCTGAGTCCACTTCAGATCAACTTATTGCTGCAGATCCAGCTGCAGCTTGTTGGGTTCTGTCTCCACCAGCTTTACGTTTTCATAGAAAAGTTTGGTACATTCTTCTCCGCAAAACAGGACCAACATTGCCATGGATGTTGAGGGTGAACACAAAGCTTCACAACTTGCAACAGATTGTCAAATGGCCAGTGAACCAGGTATTTGTTACTACAGATGTTTTCCTTGTCAAACAAACTTGAATGAAATGGCTGAACTGCATCAGTAGGATGCAATTAAGATCTACAGAGATCTACCAATGAGCAGATCTGTTTATCAATGTTGACATCCAAACGTTTCAGGTCAAAGGCCTTTGAGGAGTGGAGCTCGAGACAACTGATCTAATCCATCCCATGCTCTCTTTAGTTGCAGCCTTAGAGTCATCGTGTTGACAGATGACCTCGCTACAGTCTGAAGTGGTCTAACATTGACCTTTATGAAGCTCAAACTCTGAGATGAGTTGAGTTTAGGTTTGTCTTCATTGAATTAGAATGAACAAAGTTTTGTTCAAACAAAATAAATTGAAAATAAAATCAAACAGAACAAAAGAGTGACAGTAGTGAAGTATATTTACACATTCAAAGGAGTGGGTAGAAGTATGAACTTATTTTTACACCCAGCCCTCTTACAGCTGCAGCATCATCCAATAAGTCACTATTCATCTGAAAGCTTGGGTAAGTTTTAGAAACTAACCCTTCTTTAAGCTAACTTTATCCCTGATCTGTCTGTTGAGTTCCTTGGTGTTCATGATGCTGTTTGTTCGCTTAATGTTCACAAAAAAAAAGACAACCTCTGAGGCCAAACAGAACGTCTGAAGGGAACTGAATGACCCGAATTGGGTGTTTGAAGATATCAGAATAAAGAGACTGAAAATGATTGTTTTCATAAGAACGAATCTTTGCAGTGTCTTCGTCCTCTAAACAAACTACCTTAGCAGCAGTGATATCAGTTTGGTAACAAAGTTGGTAACAGTTTATTCGAAGGGTGTGCATAAACATGACGGTCATGAATATTTATGACTGTTGGTATGAAGTGTCATTTGGTAAATAAGGACACTTTTAATGCACTTTTCATGAACTTTAAATGCAAAGTTTAATAGGATTTTGCATTAATGGCATCATTATATTGACTGAGAAATTCAAAGTTCACACTTTTAATGGACTTTTAAAGCAACTTTTAGTGTTCATGTCATGTTTATGATAGTGTCATGACAGTCTCATGCACAACCCTTCAACTAAAGTAAATCTTAACAGAAAAGGTGGACATACCCCAGACAAATCACAGCTGAAAGTTTTGCGAGTTTAATGACAGCGCCCCAGTCCTCAACATCCAACACGTTTTCTATGATCAGGAAAAAAACTCCGATTGGCAAGTACCTGAAACAAACAAACAAGAAACACTGAACTGATTACAGGGATGTTTTGTACATTATTAATGAATCCAATTTTGTAAAAGAGTGAAATTATATACTCTTATTTTACCACATAATCCAGTTAAATATGATTTTTATTGCATCATTGAGGCTTTGAATGGCCTTCACAGTGCTTGTTGCCACCTGTCCCACCCTGTTTATCAAGATGCCGAAGGTGAAAGACCAGATGATCAGTCCTAGCATGTTGGGTCCATCAACATAAGTGCCCACCAGTTTAATGTGACTGTCGTTCTGCACCGAGAAACACAGAAATGCTGGCTGTAATTCTCTAAGAGCAATATTGTAGGAATACATCACCTTGTTGTACAATGCATTTCACTTTTTCACAATAAGTCACATTAAAACCATAAACTTCATTTGCTTTTTTTGTTGTTGTTGTTGTTTTTTGGAAAGGACCAATCCACAGCATTGTGTAATTGTGAAATATAAAGAAACAAATTAAACTGTTAACAAAAAAAAAAAAACATTTACAGTACATAGAACCCATATAATTATTTGTGTTTTTAGCTAAACCCTCTTCAGTCGCCCTGCACATCCAATACATTCCTGTACATTCGCTTATTTTGGTAGGGGAGAGTAAGCGAACTTGTACTTTAATGTAAATATATAAACACTTATGTTACCTTTCAAATAAAATAACCATGTTTATTAATAGAAAATTAAACAATAAGGACGTAAATGCATAATCAATCTTTCCCAGTCAGAGACGCAATAATAATAATAATACCACTCTAGTAAAAGAAATAAGTACAGAGCACTAAAACTACTCTTAAAAAGTACCTTTTGCCCAAAAGGTTACTGAAGTAAATGTAATCAGTAATACACACTTTTGAACATAGATAACAACAAAATTGCTATCAAGCTTAATGTAATAATTTGGCATTGGCATTATCTGCATCCAACAGCATTACTCAATTCACTCGGTTAGCTTAAGGGGAAAAAACTGTGCAAACAGTCTTTGCCTTTTCTAATACACGCGTCTCTGCACAGCAGCAGCATGTCTCCTTCACCACACAGCACATACAACTGGCGCCAGCGTCTTAGGGCTCATGATGCCTAAGAAACATGTTGAAAACAACATGTTTTCAAAAAAACATGTTGTTTAATCCACGTTAGCAATTGATTAAACAGTTTTAAAGGCCGAAAAAAGTGCATGGGGCAGCGGGGACATGCACAGAAAGTGCAGGAGCCCCATCTGTAAGAAAGTTGGCCACTCACAGGTAAAAAAACAACAACAACAAAAAACAGCTTCCAGGCGCCACCACACAGCTGACTCTGAGTGGGCAGTGGCCCCCAATCCCACCAAGCCTGTTTCATAGGAACACAGACGGATTAATCTAGGATTAAAACTTGTTTCAGGGGTGCAAAAGACTTGAGAATAGCAAAGATCTTCCCCTTGCAGTAGAACAGTCACTCTAGGTAAAAGCATAATCAGACGATTACTCTAGTCAAATCACTCTAGTCAAAACTCCATGGCAAGATGTGAGCAATGATGTTCTACTGCCCAAAAACATTACTGTAGGATTAACTGTTCTTGTTGAAACCCATAGGTACAACGAGTGTTTGCATGGTTGCTTATGCTGGGTCTTAATTTTCCCCTGTGATGAACTCCACCCCCCACCCACGGGCCACTACAGGAAGGTACAACTGCCCCTCAGGTGAAAGAAAACACCACCTCTCCTTTCTGGCTTTAATTTACACAGCCGTCCATCATTTATCCTCCACTTCAAAATCAAGAACTCTTTTGTGTTGGGTGACAACTTCAAACCAAACAGAATACTTTGAAGTTTGTGGTTATAATGTGACAACATGTGAAAAACTGAAAGGCCATACAACAAAAATCTGAAAGAGATACTCACTAATAGTAGAAAAGAAGTGCCAGAAGTGCCTTCAGGAAGGTCTTTTTTAATGTAAATAATCTCAGTCTTATACTGGGAGAAAAAAGAAACTGTTAGGAAACTGTCCAAACCTGGAAAGTTACACACTGAGCTGCGGTTGTGAATAAAAACGAACCTTCTCATAGAAAGCCTGAACGAAGCTCTCAGGAACCATGTTCCTATGTGAGTGAAAGGAAAATTACAAAAAAAAAAAAAAAATACTGAGCCAAATGTTAAAGAAAAAATACATGTGAATATTATTTTCTTATCATTTCACATAGGTGAAGATAGTTTTAAATGTTACTTTAGATAATAAAAGTCAATTACCCTCTATGTAAAAAACTACAAGATGAATATAATCACCTTCCTAAAAGTAATGGCCTATCATATTTTGCCCAAAGTAATTTTTCTCTTTGCCTAAATCATCTGTTGGCAATAGAGAAGTTGTGTGTTTTTTTCTTGCCAGAATAACTTTTGGCAAAAAAAAAAAAAATTATATATATATATATTTAGACCATCATTATGTTAGGAAGGTGACAATATGCACAAACGCAGGAATTGTGTCTAACTGTCTGTCCTCTTGCCTTAAAAGATCCATGAGGATCACATGAATGGAGAAGGGTGGCATTTCCTTAATGTTCTCCTGGAAACTTTGTTCTCCCGCACCAGGCTGGATTGTGAGCACCAGAAACAGTCCTGCAACACAAAATCTCAGACAGAATATCAAAAGCAATAACACAAAGCAAACTATCTCAGCCCTCATAAATCTTCATTAATAACTGCTGACCATAATAACATTACCAAGAATTATGGCCACAATAGTAGTGCCAGAGATAAAGGTTCCTGTGAATATGGCTGTTTTTCTGGACATTTTGGTGTTTAATCCAGTTACTCCTGAGAAAAGAGAGCAGAACCAGAAGTTCAAGTGGTGCCTGAGCAATGAGCAGGACAACATACCAGGGCATATGTGTCCTAACAACTAATCTTCATCTTTTAAAAATGTTTTAAAAGCACAGGAACGAAATGGTGTGAATATGAACTTAGCTTAATGTCTAGATATAATATATTATAAAGGGTTTTGAACAATATTTATACAGAATATCCATAAAAAAATGAGTGAGCATACTTCAAATCTATCTCTGTCGATTTGAAGGATGCTCAAATCTACAGATGTAACTATGATACATTAATACTTCAAGTATTTAGATTTATATTTAGCTTGCCTGCAAGCACACTTGTCACAATGAGGGGTACAGCAAACATCTGAAGCACGCTGATAAGCATATCCCCTGGCACTCGGATCCATTTTACTTGTTCTTCCCTTAAATATATCATAAACCTCAGCAGAAATCCAGTGCCTAAGCCTATGGGGGGAAACACAAACATAATAGATATGAAGAAAAAAAACATCAAGATGTAGAAACAACCTAAGCGATGAAATACTTTATAACAGTCCTGAGAAATGGGAGTGCTCTCACATAAATATAAAATATCTATTGTAGATTTATTTATTTATTTTTAATTTTTTTTTCAGTTTATTGTGAATAGGTTACCAAGAATTATGGCCAAAATAGTCGTGCCAAAGATGACGCTGCACAAGTAAAACAGGAAATCTGGCCTTTATTTCCTAAACATGTGTAAAATAATCATTTACTACATTTAGTTTTTTTACACTCGATAACTGGAGGAAAGTTAGTGTAAGATAGCAGATAAAACAAGGTTCACTGTAATAGTGGAATATGTGGCAGAACATGGCCTGCAGGTACTGTCTGCTGTCAGCTGTGACTGACAAATCAGTTCATATCCAACCTTCAGATAGGATGATACTAACTTTAGTGTCCCAAAGGAAATTTGTCTTGGGTACAAATTCTGGCTGCTGCATCATCCAAAACCAAGACTTTATGCATAAAACCACTTCTATAATAAATCAATCAACACAGATATAAAAACATAAAAGAAGCATGTTAACATTTTGAACACCACAACCTACAGTCACAATTTACTGTAGGTAAATTGGGCACCTGGGCAATTAGTTTACCTGCAGTAAATTGTAGGTAATTTACCTAAAGTGAACATTTTGTTTACCTACAGCACCTTTCATGCCTCTGAAGTGAGGCATTCTGCTTGACCTCCATTAGCTTCATAGCTATTTGCATGAGACTAATGAGTTTGGCTTCATTTGGACAGACCAGCTGAACCCAATGAAGGTCTGGTTTCTCTACGTCAGGGCAGCTCAAATGTTTTGACACCAAGATCTACTTTTTCTCTCATCAGCCAGCCGAGATCTACCTCATGACACCAAGACATAAAAATGGTAAATCAAACCCTATTGGCTCATTTTCGATTTTACATCCGTTATCTCAGAAATGATAAAGTGATAGAAAACCTCAGTGAGAGTCTGACACTGGGAGCAGGTTACTGGTTCCTCAGTCAGGTTGCAAACCAGACGTCAGCAGATGTCATTCAGTTCTGGTAGATCTGAAATTTGGTTTGATGACGTCAATATGAGAAACTACAGACTGATAGGAGGAAGCAAAGAGCTCTGCAGAGGTAAAGCCATTTGTTTGTTAAACCAATGGCTTCTACCATGATATATGTTTGTCCTGTTTGATGTTTGTTGTGACATTTACTGCAATTGAAACAGGTAATGAGTCCAAGTTTGTCGTTCATTGAACGTTCTGTAAAGAGCCACAGCGACGGTAAACAAAGGTGAACCAACCCGAACAGCTGATCAACCCAAAACCTGCACCTTTTCACTCTCCGACTCTTTGTCGTGAAACACACGCGTTGCGGGCCGCAACCTGCGCCCCGCAAGCAGAGCGGAGATGACGTTAAAAACATTCAGTCCGTTACGACATCAGGTTTCCAGGCTTGATGTTTAGTTCTCGATTATTAATAATTAATAATAATTACGTAATTTAAGCTCCTGCTCTGCTAGTCAGTCGGGCTTTCAGTCCTTTTTTTGTTTGTTTGTTTTTTTGTTAATGGAACCTAAACGCACTGAATTGCGCAACACCTAGTTGAAACAATAATTACTGATTATTAATTTTAACACGTTTTGTTGATCTTTTTATTATTATTATTATTATTATTATTATTATTATTATTATTATTATTATTATTATTATTATTCTTTAATGGAGCCACAAACGTTTGGGGTCTTGGTGAATATTTTTGATGAGCTTGTCAGAAGAGGAAGTGCTGCTCTCAGCGTCCTTCAGTTGGTCACCTGCTGCAGAGATCGACGTATTGAGCTGATCTACAGCATCACTGTCTGACCAACACCAAACGCCCCCAACCTGCACAGGAAATGCAGTCGCTGCTGCAGAGAGAGTTGATTGTCAATGTGTATTCTAAGATATTGGTCGGAACCCACCTGGGCAATTAGCCGATTCTGCCCCGGTGGGCACAACCCCGTTCCTGTGATCTTTAGGTATTAAGAATTAGAAATTGTGACCACCACTGAAAACAGTTTTTAATCTGCTGTCGGTGGTTAAATGTGATGAGGCAGATTACAGCTGTGTCATCAGAAAATGTGAACATGTTTGGCGTGTTACAGAAACAGCTTCTTCTTCCCTGCAGTTGTCAGAACTCTGCACTTGATCCAGCTTCATTTAAAGTTTCATACGCGCACACTGAACATGTCGTTAGCATAGTCAAAGTACGTTTGAACTCATTTCAGTTGAAACCCCAGGTTGAGCACGCGAGTTTAACAGCCAACCCCAAAAACTCCTGACATGAGGACTCACCAAAAGCAACCGACAGGAGGCAGATGACCTGAAATATTCCCTCCTCCATCGTTTGGTTTCGCTGTGATTCGGGAAGCAGACGGGCGGGTCGATGGCAGCTGTTTCAGTTACTGTTTGGTGTCCAATGCTGGGCAACTGAGAAAAGAACGTTCAGTCTCAGTCGGTTCCTTGGCAACATAAATAACACACATAACTTATGACTGGTTTCAGTAATTTGATGTGTTTGAAGAGCACTGAGTCCATTGGATCAATCGGTTTTCTATTTTAAAAATATTTTTTAAATATTTTGATTTAAAAAAAATGAAAAAATATATATTTTTTAAATATTTTGATTTAAAAACAGTGGTTAAGCGATTTAAACAGGTTTTAGAAGATCTTGTTCATTTTGTCATCCAGTCCTTGGATTCCATGTTTTGGAAAATGCCGGGAAAAGAATTCCAGGTTTCCTTGGATACCTTGATTTTGGTTCAAATGCTAAACAAGGATGATATTTATTTCAAATAAAAGTAAAAAGACATTGTGTTTCTGATAATATCACCACATCACAAAACTATTTATTTTATGGACTTTTTATTCATGAAACTGAGTATTTTGACCCGTCTGAAAAATATTGCTCAAGTACAGAAGGATGTCTCCTTCCTTCTTTCTTTCCTTCTTTCCTTCCTTTTTTTCTTCCTTCCTTCTTTCTCTCCTTCCTTCCTTCCTTCCTTTTTTCCTACATTCCTTCCTTGCTTCCTTCTTTCCTACCTACCAGTATAGTAAAGACAGGGCTCTATTTTCCACTATGAGTTTTCGGCTGATCTGTTTTCTGTGCCCTGCTTTTCAGGGTCCACTTCATGAACACTTAATGACAGTGGTAGGCTAAATTATTTTTAAATGTCTTGCACATAATTAAATACTAACTTTTAAATTGACTGGAAATTTATTAAAATCAGCTGATTTCAAGAAAATATTTTATGCAATGTTCACGTGTTCACTTATAAAAATGACGTTGAGATTTAATTCAGTTATTTTGAATTTGAAAGCAGTAAATCTGTTCATGCAACATGAAGAAATGTATTTATTTTACAAAGCATTGTATCAATCAGCCAAATTTCCGTTATCCCCTCTCTTAGGTGATATACATTCTGTGGAAGTGGAAGGGACGAGCTCGTCATCGGGCTCCAAACAGATTAAGTCCAACTCGAGGTCACTGGCGGATCGCATCTTTTCCCTGGAAAGGATTCGAGCCAAAACGGAAAACACGGTTAATAGCGATCTGGGCAAACTGTGACCAAAATATCTCATTTCTTTCTACTCAATGAAAATGACTTATAATAGTCTATATCCCAGATATATACTTTATTACATTACAAGAACTAGAGCCCATATTTTACTCAACATTTCATATAAAATTACAACTAACTTAAAGAGGCTCTGAAGCATTTAGATCATTTTTATGTGGCTCTCTGACTACAGAATAGTTCAGAATTAGATGTGCACAATGTTGACAAAAGTATTCACTTATCTGCCTTCACATACACACATTCCCGAGCAACATCCTAATCTCAATCCATCCTATGACGTGAGCAGACCGGTAAAGTTCTTCTACCCCAAACTTACTCATCTATATTATGGAAGCTGCTCTGTGCACTGGTGCAAAGTCATGTGAGAACAGGAAGAGGCCATTTTCAAACTGTTCCCACAAGGATGGGAGCTTGAAATCGTAAAGAATACCTTGGTGTGCTAAATCATTAGGAGTTCCAGTCCCTTAAACAAATGGGCTGAGCCCGACTGCTGGTGAACGGTACCAAATGATGAATCCCACCCCGCCGTCCTGTACAGCTCAAACACCAACACGTATTATTATCACCACATCAGTGAGAACGCGATGCAGCTCCCGCAGAGTAAAACATAAAAGTGGAAGTGTACAGGTGGTATCACATCATGGTACCACGCTCAAGTTCACTGTTCTTCCTGAGATCACCCTATTAGTTCAGCCTCAGTGTTGGATTCCATGTAGCAGTGAGAAGCACTGGAAAGCCTGAATTGATGGATTTGGACTAGGAAGTGAATACTTTCGTCAACATTATGTCTTTGCAGATGAACACATCATTTTAATGATTTCATTTACCTTAGTAATATCTCCAGGGCCAAGAGCTCTTCCTTGCACAGATGACTGATGAGAGCCACACCATAACAGTCTCCTAGCACATTGACTATGGTAGTGAAATGGCCTCTGAAGAGCAGATAAGAGGAGAACAAATATGCTGTCAGACTCAACTATGTTTTTCTTGAAGGTTTTCTGTCCCTCAGTCTACAACAACCAGATGCTCCAGCTCTTCTCCAGCTTAGGCTGTTCCTGGAAACAAAATTAGTCTCCAATCATTGCTATACAGGCTCTCCCCACAAGGAGGCGACTCAAGACTCATATTAGTATTTTCGTTTGCAGAAAAAACTGAATGGAGATGTTTGTGCATCTCTATTCAGCCTCAATGAGACCGTTTTGCTCCAGTTCTAGCTGCAGTCTGTTGGGCTATGTCCCAGTCAGAAATAACTGCAAGCTTTTGATAGCAGACAAGTGTAACTCCATCCAAAATGACTACATTACATGATGATTAAACATATACTGTGTGCATAATTATTATGCAAGTTGTTGTTTTGAGGATTCATTTTATTATAGAACAACTACAGAACTCTCTGTCAATCCAACCCGTTTAAGAAGGGCCCACGAGTTCTTCATGCGGTCTAGGTCTGATGAGGAGGGGGGCCACTTCATTATTCCTCCATCTTTAAGGTCTTTACTGGCTGGCCACAAAGCGGAGTACTCTGATACATGTGATGACACGTTGTCCTGCATAAAAATCATGGTCTTCTTGAAAGATGCATCCTTTTTCCTAAATCACTGCTTGAAGAATGTGTCTTCAGAAAACTGGCTGTAGGTTTGGGAGTAGATTTTGAGTCCATTTTCAACCCGAAAAGATCCAAATGGCTCATCTTAAGTCATACCAGCCCGTACCGGTACACTGTCTTTACCTTCCTGGCGTCTGATGTGAAGTGGAGCTCTGTGCTCATTACTGATCCTGCCACGGGTCGATCCATCTGATTCGTCATGAGTCACTCTTATCTCATCAGTTCGTTAAAAAATCTGTTTTCAGATGTGGACCTGCAGCTCCAGTCTTGATGTTTCAACTCATGTGTCCTGTTCAGCGGTGGTCAGGCGTCCTTACCTGGGCCATGTCTCTGAGCTCTGAACATCTTGTACTCCTTGGCCCTCCAGGTAGGTTGCATTTCTGGAATGTCACAGCACTGGAAGATAACGGGATCCTGGTCGCTTCACGTTTGATTTTTCACAAATCTTTGGCAATTATGTTACCTCTTTGTTTCTCAACATGTTTCTTGTGTCCCTTTGACTATTAGCAGCAAAATATTTGATGGTTTTGTTATCACACCCAAATATCTTAGCAGTTTCAAGAGTGCTGCATCCCTCTGAAAGATTTTTTACAATTTGGGACTTTTCAGAGTCACTTAAATCTCTTTTTTGGCATTTGTTGCCTGAGGAAAAGAAACTGCCCAATAATTATGCACAACTTGATATATGGTGTTGATCTCCTTAGACCCACACTCCCTCATTAAAAAAATACACACCGGCTGACATGGTGTGTTCTAAAATCATGCAAGATTGCACAGCTTGGAATAGGAAAATATGTATAAAAATGATGATTTGGTCAAAACTCACTATTGCCTAATAATTGTGCACACAGCATAGTAGGTGATGAGTATCAAGTTAAACTTACAAAAACCACTCAAAGATCAGCAGAAGGGGTGCATCACGTGCAGAGAGTCCCACAGATGTCAAAATCAGGATAGTGGTTGCAGATCCCGTTACTGGAACACCTGCAGCTCCAAAGCTTGAAATGCAACTGGTCAAGCTGCAAACCAAGCACAATTTCCATTGATGACCATCTGCAAACCAAGCAGCTGGAAATGCTCATGAGCATTTTTGTCTCAACTACAACATACAACTGTATTCCTCTCAACAATTCCAGCATGCATCTTTTCTCAATTCCAGGTACTTGTAGGAAGCAGCTTACCAAATGGTGATGAACTGGCTGACATCCAAAATGCTGTCACGCATCTGGGCAACAAACATGATACAGACCGCTTCATACAGCGCCAACCCGTTCATGTTCATGCTGGCGACTAATGGCAACATGAGCTGGCAGAATCTTGCGTTGGCCTTCAAGTTCTCTTCACAGCATTGAATGGTGACAGGCAGAGTGGCGACGCTTTGACAGAAAGCACATCCTTTATTGGCAAACCGTTTGTATGAGGAAACTACAAGAGTGTCACACTTTGACAACAAACAAACAGAACATTTCACCTGGACGCCATGATCATTGAGGTGAACAAAGCCTTGGAAACCCGGATTAAGATGAGAAAGGGGTTCCGTTTGGTGAACACGAAGTAAATCAATGGAAGAACAAGAAAGGAGTGCATTCCCAGCCTGAAAGAGACAACAAAATCATGATCATTGTTAAAAACATTCACTTAGCTTTCAGTGTTGACACTTTTTGACACCTCATGTGTTTGGGAGATTTTATATGATAACACACAGTAATGTAAAGTAGAAGGAAAATGATGCATGGTTGCACAGTTGCATCTACTTAGTTGATATTTTCTTTTGGGTCCATGCTCCTACATTTTTTAGATTTGCTTTTTAAGGCCTTTTGTTGATCATTTTTTGAAAAATAAAAACAGAATATTTTTTATATACATTTATCCCTGTGCTTTACAGACTGTAACAGTCTTCATGATGCCTTTTGTTCACCGGCAAACATAACAAAACCTCTTAGGGCCAGAACGTCTGGAGAAAACTGATTGAATTGGACTGAAAATAATTGTATTTATAAAAATTTATCTTTTTATCCTCTAAGCATAAGAAAGGAGTAAATTTCTTTCCTTTTTATGCAGAGTTCAGCGCTGCCACCTCAGGAGCAGAAGAAACGAAGCTGCGATGGACAAGGTGGACCTACCCCAGCAAAATTACCCCTATAAGTCTGGCAATTTTCATGATAGCGCTCCAGTCACCAACATCCATCACAAGCTCCACAACCAGGAACAAAATGCCGATTGGCAAGTACCTGAAACAAAGGACAGTCAAAAAAAAAAAAAAGGTTAAAAGAAAATTGGTGTTTCAAAATTATTTCAACTCCCTGTTTGTTAATAAAAATAATTTAAAAAACAGCTTCCTTATGTAAATACAAAAACTGGAATCAGATCTCAGTGGTATGGCCCCAATGATTTGTCTTTTTGTCTGACTAGAACTAATTAAGATATATTTTTTTTAGAATTAGAATTTAACCAAATTGGTAAAAAAAAAAAAAAAAAGAGAGAGAAATGATGTAGTGCTCGATCTTACCACATCATCCAGTTGAATATGATTTTTAGTGCATTGCTGAGGAGTTTAATGAACTTCACCGTGGCTTTGGCCTTGATTCCTGCCCTGTTTAGCATGACGCCGATGATGAAAGACCAGAAGATCAGTCCTATCATGTTGGCTCCAGCAACATATTTGCCTGTCAGTCGTGTCAGAGTGCCATTATGTTCCTAGAAACACAAATGTGCTGGACCTAACTCTCTAAGAGCAGTTTTATAGGAGTGCAGCACATTGTACATATCACTTTTCCACAAAAAGTCACACTAAAGCCATGAACTTTGATGTGTTTTATTTGCATTTAGTTTGTAAAATACCACTCCAAAGGACTGCATAATTGTGAGATAAATTCAAGGTCTATAAAACCTTCACATGTAAAAATAAAGAAACTGGAACTCTGCATGTAAACGTGAGATTTGTCAGCAAGAATGGTATTAGTTTTCCTTATGATCTGTTTATAGAACAGATCTAGGGTGAAAATTATGACATTCCCCTTGCAGCCAAACAGCCACATTCAGTCCATATCTACAATGGAATGGTTCAGGTGAAAGCATATCCATATTATGGGTCCCTGCATAAAAATAAATAAATCCTGGCTTAAGTACAACAAAAAATGAGTGGCAAAATGTGAAAACTGATGTTCCTCCCTCTTCCCAAAAAACGTTACTGTCGGGTCAACACGTCAACAGGTTCAAGTGTTTTGCATTGTTGCTTGTCTGTCTGTTCCCTGGTGATGTATCCCTCCTCACACCCGATGACCACTACAGAATGACGTTTGTGGTTGCAATGTGACAACATGTGAAAAAGCTCAAGGGTTATAAATACTTTCTGAAGGTTCTCTAGACTAAGAGCAGAGATCAGAAGAAAATACTCACTACTGTGGGATCAAGGGTGAGTCTTCTAGAAGTTCTTAATTTAACCTGAATAATCTCTGTCTGGTACTGCAAAAAAAAAAAAAAAAAAAGAAACTTTTTTAAAACTTTCCAAATCCAACATGGAAAGTTGTGCAGTGAGTTGTGGAGCTGATTAAAAACCTACCCTCTCGTAGAAAGCCTGAACGAAGCTCTCTGGAACCATGTTCCTATGCGAGTCAGAGGAGAGTCAGACAAAAAAAATAAATTATTTTAAATTTTAAAGATGGAAAACATGAGGATACTGAAATGGCCTGGCGTCCTTTCCGCTTCTAACCCGTTGACACCAGCGCCCCTCGCAACCCCACTGGGGATAATCGTATTTGATAATGAATGGATGGAACATGAGGATGTTTTTTTTTTTTTTATGAGAATTTCACAAAAACCCAGAAAGTTTTGATTTATAGTTGTCAGAGATAAAAATCTCTATTTTAACTTCTTCAAATTACAACCTGAATATGCAAACCAGGAGTTTTATCTTCTCACCTAATAAGATCCATAAAAAGCACTTGCATGTAGGAGGATGACATGTCTATGTTCACGGTTCTTCTGCCCAATTCCGTGTTATCCATACCAGGCTTGACCAGGATCACTAGAGTCACTCCTGCAACACAGTCACAGGCGGTTCTTCAAAACAATCACACAATACACACTGACTGTTTTGATAAATCTATGTTAAACTGTGCTGCCCATTATAAAGTCACCAATAGATACGGCCAGAATGGTAGAGACACAGATGTACGTTGATGTGAAGAAGCCTGTTTTCCCAGGCAATTTGCTTTTTATTCCAGTTATTCCTGAGAAAAGAGATCAGAACCAGAAGTTCACCTGGTGCCTGAGCAATGAGCAAGACAACATACCAGTTCATGCGTGTCCAATAGTCTAAACGTCTGAACTGGTCTTCATCTTTCAACACATTTTAGCCACAAAAAATAAATGATAAGAATATCAGATAATTCTTATGTATGATATTGTTTATAAATAATATCCACAAAAGAGTTGACATCTTTTAAATCTATTTCAAACATTTACAAGGTTACACATAAAGTGTCTGGGTTTTTAACTTGCCTGCAATCACACTTGTCACAATGAGAGGTGCAGCAAATAACTCCAGCATTTGAAGAAGCAAATTTCCCGGGATTTTCATCCAGTCCATTTGATGCTGAGTGATAGGAACCACATGCTTCAGCAACAACCCAACGCCTAACCCTAAAAATTCACAAATACAATAGACACAAAATAAAAAATAACATCAAGATGTAAAAACAACCTAAGCTTTGACAGACTTCATAACAATCATGTAAAAAAAATGGGGGTGCTTTAACATAAATGGTTAATGATTTATATGTTTTCTAACATATTAAATCTTTGATTGGGAGCAATATTGGCCAGAGATTATTGACACAAACAACTTCAGTATAGATAATTTTTTCTCCCTTTGTGTGGTGCAACAGGGTGACACTGACCCAATGTGCGCTTTACAAGATTTGTAATTTTTTTTTTTGAGATGGTGGTTTTGGGAACTGATGGTCTGATGGGACAACCCTCTGCTTCCCTCCTGTCTGTCTGTGTCATTTGTTACAATACACCAAAACGGGTTACATGAAATGTTTTTTGTTTCAACACAAACAAAACTTAGTGACTGCGTAAGCAGCCATTAGGAGGCCTCACAGTTACACCCCAAGTGGAAATGTTCATTTAGTAATAATTTCAATGAGATTACATTAACAAAAACACACATTTTTATTATAAATGTGTGGGGTTTTTTTATATAATATTTGACCATATAGAAATCATTCTTTGTATTGGCCAAAAGAAAATAATAATTGCTCTTGGGGTCCCCCTGGTGGCCACCCTGGGCCACGCTTCACTATGAGCTGCAGTGCAGGGCTCGCTCTCTCTCTCTCCCTTACTATGAAACCATCTTATTGGCACCTCTTTTATTTTCACAAATTTTTCCACCAATCGAAGAAGGGTATAATAAATTGAAATGAGAAGTAATTTAGAAAATTCACACAATCAGTTATAAGAAGAAGTCTTATTTTCATTGTAACATTTCCTTTTTCAGATGCCACAAACTTGAGCCAGAGAAACTGATAAGATATCTGAGGATTCAGATTTTCTATACATTTATAGGAATGTACTGATCAGCTTGAACAGGTTTATTTTTGAAGTTTATAAGTATAAGTGTGCAGTTGATATCTTATATCAGAGATGAAGGCCTGGCACCTTAAAAATAGGACACTTTTTATTTAAAGAGTATTTATGTGTGTTGACTCGTATGTATGTGTTTCTCTGTGTCTTGAAAGCCCATGTGGGCCGAGCACCTGTGAAAAGGTGCATGACACATTTTATCATGAAAATAAAGTCTATGAAATAGACTTTATGAAATAGACTTTATGAAATAAACGATAAGAAATCACAGAAGTAGAAAAGTACTTACCCAAGGCAATCATAAACAGGGTAAAGCCCTGAAACAGGCTCTCTTTCAGTACAGTCATTTCACGGTGGAGCTGAGACAGATGTGCCCTTCAAACGCAGCCGTTGGAGAAAATCAGTTGCTGGGAAACTACATGCCATTTTTGTCCCCCTTTTAAAAAATGCTCTGAAAAACCATACTTGGTCTCCATGGGTACCTTGCTACAATAAATAATACTTTACAAATATATTTTTTTAAATACCTTCGATTTTCAGTAATTTGAAAACAAATCTCGTTTCCATTGAATCAGTTTGATTCATTTGTTTGTTCACCGAAACATCTTTCAAGTTAAACAGTGTTCAAGTGATTTAGGAGGATTTTATTCATGTTGGCATCCAGTTCTGGGATTCCATTTTTTGGAAAATGCAGAGAAAGGCATGTCTGGTCTCCTGGGATACTTAGATTCAGGTTCAGATAATCTAAACAATGTTGATCATAATTTTTTCAAAAAATTAAAAAGACAATGTGTGCACAATGAGCAGATTAGACCCAGTCACAGATATTAATGTTTGACCAAACATGGAAAAAACTTGACTGACTTTTTTTTTTGTTTCGACACGTCACAAGATGCTGACATTAAAACGTGTTGATGGAAGACTACAAGATTAGAAATCAATTTAAATTAATAAAGGAAAGGCAATGTATGAATTTATTATTAAGTATGAGAAAGTAATATTGAGAAATAGAAATTTAGACCTAAAGAAATAATTATAAATACACTTGGGCAGCCATCTAATTGTTCTGCTCATCCGCGTTAGCAGCAAAGCTGCAGGTTTGTCCCCATTAGTTCAACGTACTTATGATTATTCTTCTAATGCCGACTATTATTTTTGCCATTATAATCAAGGTAATTGGAAATGTGTCATAATTGTCTTAACTGGAATATTCTTTAAAATAACTTTAATTTGCTTAGTGATTAAAATAATTTATACTGGCTTGTGTTGCCTAATTACACTTTAAAATCATCCAATCGACTTTACAGAGTGAAATATTGGAGATGGGAAAATTGAATAGAAAATGGGAGAATCCACATTATTATATGTGTTATAGGTTTTAATAATTTAAATTACAGAGTTCCCCAGGAAGAGTGGTTAGTTGCTGCAAGTCAGGAGACTATACTTGAGGAAAAAATAAAAATAATTAATTCCCCTTTCAGGAGAAAAAAAGTTGCATTAAAAAATAATCATTACAAGATGTTCCAGAGATTTTGTTGAATGTCAGCAGTTAGTGACTTTCTACCCACCAGCTAATGACTGAGTTCAGTCAATATTAATCAACATAAACTGTGCCTTGTTAATAATTAGACACCCAGACCTCCCAGATCCGTCAATCCTCTCGTTGTGCCTCAGTCTGGCTGCCTGACTCGGTGGTCTGGTACTAATCACATTCTTTTTGTAAATTACATTTTTTAAGTTTTATAATTTGTGACATACAAAACTGTTAATTCAATTTCATAATACCTTATTTTATAAAATATAAATCTCCTTTATTGTTCTACAGTCGGGAAAAATTCAGTAAAGTAGATTCACACAAAGATAAAAATATAAAATAAACATGCAGAACAAAATTAAGAATAACTGTAAAGCGGGAGCAAAATTGCAATGTAAAAACTGCAGTTATGAAAAAATAATGTTCTTTAATCCAAAAAAATTTGCAACTACATATTAGTAGAATAATAAAAAAAAAATAGAATATTTACAACAAAATAAAAGCCCAAGTGTGATGTTATTTAAATTTATTTCACAGTGTTGGTGCAAAATTACCAAAATTTGCTGTGTCAGTTGTACAATGTCTGACATAATTACTTTTTTAAAAGTTTTTTTTTATAATTAAACTTCAGTTTAATGAATAAAATCTCAAACACTTTAAACACATTTCAACATAAACAAGTCATAATTAAAAAAAAAATCACTTGCATTTTTTCAAAACAGTTAGTTTTTTTTTTATTCATGGCAAAACTGTGCTCCTTTAATTAGTAAAATTATAAAATTAAAGTAAAATAAAAAAGTAAAATTACCAGAAATTTTATAAAATACCATTTGAATCCATCAGCAATCCACAGTTTCGGCCGCAGAACGCCTCGGACATCTAGATATTACTGCGCCGAGCGCAGCGCCGGCAGCGGAGGGATATCTGGACCTAATTACCGGGGGAGAAATCAGTTTATTGAAGCGCAGCTGGGATTTTGTTGTTTTTATATTAACTGCGCTCAGACAAAGAGGTGACGAACCAAAACTCTCCCTGTCAAGTGTGAGGTAAGACTTGTTAATGTCTGAGTCGATGTGAGATGAAAGTTGTCACGAAGTGAGTTTAGTCGCGTTGAGTCATTAGTCCCCTGCTGCTACCTGTCCGAGCGGAGCAATGACTCAAACTGTTGAGCTCATTCTGTCTCACAGTGACAGCTCGTGATTTCCTAGTGGAAGTTGCATGCTTTTGGATGTTTTTATTGTTTCACCATTCAGGCTGCAGCTTCAGCATTTTCTCAGTAAATTTCTGCTGCAAACCGCCAACATCTGGAATGTTTTCATTCAGTTTTTTTCCAAATTAACAAAGATAACTCACATGTGTAACATTCCCCCCCTAACTTGTTAATTTAAAGCTTATTTAAAAAAAGCTGAAATCACTTAAACCGGTGCAAAAGAATCAGTTTATTATAAAATACTTAAATGGCTTCAACCTGTTGACAGTATTTGCAGATGAGGAATCCCCTAATAATGAAGGCCATGTGCGGATTCCTCCCATTTTCTTTATTAAATAATGAAATGCAAGATGTTTTTTTTTAATATGTAGGTTCTTGTATTGCAAATTGTTTTAGGATCCATTTGAAAACTAAATCTGGATCAAAATACACTATTAGCAACTGCAAATGTAGTACTGCAGTATGTCAGAGGGGGGCGCTGTACAAAGTAATAGTAGCCGGACCAATATTTTGTTTCCTATCTTTTATATATCTAAAATCACGAGTGAGTATTTCTATCTCCATTTGCATCAAAACTTGCGTCTCAATTCGCTGATTCCAATCTCTTCCAAATGGTCGGTGCATTTTTCAAATGTTTATTTTGTTTGTCTGAGAATCCAGAATTTATCGGTCTTGAATGCTTGTTTGCCAGTCAGAGATGTCATGAAAAATAACTGTAAATGTTATTTTTATAAGTGTTTTTAAACATACACAACGTCAGTCCAGAAACTGATCTGTTGGATGGAAAAACAGTTGAAAGGATTTGCATGGAGAGGAATTACTGAAACTTATAAATTTATATGTATTTATATTATTTTTACCAGCAGGACTAAAGATTTGATATCAGCTAAGTTTATATATTAGAGGATCTTTAATGTTTAAGTGAACTTTGTATTTTCCTTCCAAGATGTAATCAGGTTGCAGATTCTTTGAGAGACTGTCTTTATTTTCTGTTAAACCAGATGAAATCCATCTGAATACTTTGACATAAAGTGAACAGGCCAAAGGGATTGCGTAGGACGCTCAGGTCTTCTTGTGTGAAGTGTTGGTTCCGGTTTCAAAAGCAGATGACTCTGTGTGAATCTAAACTGACTCATCCTGTCGTCTTCCCAGTGAGGCTCTGAGTCACTGATGATGTTGTCAAGCTGCTCGTAGCGTCTGATCTGCAGGTCGCAGCTTGAATTATGGCTCAAAAGTTTGTTTCGTTTGTACACAGGTGGACCGGTTTGAAAGTGTGCAATTTCTTGTAATCGTCCCCACGCAACTCCTTCATAAGCTGGTGGGTAATTATGGAAACTTTTTTTTTTAAGTAATTTTGGTAGGTTGGCCGATAAATATAATTCAATTGATCAAATGTTTTTTTTGTTTGTTTTAATTTAGCAAAATAAGGATTTACTTTTCTTCTTACCAATGCACTTGTTGGGTTTTGATAGTTCAGAGTGATGTCATTGCCCACAGGGCGGCCATCTAGTTTGACCACCATGTTTTACAGTGTCTATTTGCTTGGACTTTGAATTCAGGTAAACTCTAACAGAATATTTGGCAAACTGTTTTGTTCTTTTTTTTTTTTTTTCAACTGTGAGAATAAAGTCATAATACTGCAAGAATAGAGTCGTAGGAAGACAACAGTCAAAATAATGCAAAAATAAAGCATTAATTTTACCAGAATAAAGATTTAAGTTTACAGAAGGAAGTAATTTTGAGAATTTCTGCATGAAAAAACAATGTGAATGAGGAACGTTGAGCTTCTTGTGAAGCTAACATTTAGCATCGGTTTTACAGTTCAGGTCATTTCCAGCAGCAGGATTTAGAAGCATTTTGACAAATAATTATTTCACCTCAGATCCTGATAACAAAGTTTTTGGTCCTCATTAAAGAAACTTTTTTTCTCTTAATTTTTAGATTTTTTTTTTCTTTTTGGAAAAATTGCATTTTTTTCTGCTAATATGATTGTTCTTGTAATTAATTAACAACTCTGAGAAAGAATGATTGAATGAAAAAACACTTCTTATAAACATCTTCTGTAATTGAAAACAGAGGTGGAAACTGATTTGAATTTTTCTTTTAAACTCCACACTGGTCAAGTCTAACTGGGAGTTGGATGATTATATCCATTTTGTTTCTTTTTGTTATCGGAATTTGTTGTTTTGACTGAAATGGGGAAAATTTCTCATGTTTTCTTTTTATGGTGTGAAAACATCAAGTCTCTGAATCTGAGATAAACCATTGCTAACTTCCTGAGTGTTTTTTTTATTTTTGACATCATTCACTGTAGAAATAAAAGTGAGTTTATGTAAAGAGACAAAATAAAGGAAATTGTTGCGTCGGTCAAAGATCTTATTTCTGAACTGCTTCTTTGCTTGTTTCTCTCGTTTTGCTACAGCTTCAGAACAAAAGAGAAACTAAAGTTGCATTTCTTTCAGATGAACTCGCCTCCACCTTTTGGTTTGTCACTTAACACTGAAACCAAGAGAAGCGTTTTGTTGTTTTTCTTTCTTGGGAATTCCTCAGGAATCCTGCAGGCTGCAGCGTCCGGGAATTTCTGAAGACGGTTTTTTTCCTTCAGACTCACAGAGGAGTCATGTGTTTGGGATTAAACTTTCATATTTAACACTGATGGGGCTTAGTATCAGACTGACACG